AAAGGCCATAATTTGCAGCTCGTAATCTAACAGTGTAGAGCTAAGAAAAAGATAAGAGTAGCTTACAGATACGAATTCCATTGCCAATCTTCCCAAGGTTATGCTTAGTTCCATATTCTGCAGAAACAAAATCCAAAGTTTACTACTTTACTAATCTTTTCTTCTTAAGAAAATTGAAACTGAGCTACACTGATAATAGAAAATAGAAACAAGACAAGGAATTTGAAAACACTTGTCAATTCCAAATTCCACGAATGAGGAAACTCAATTACTCACGTCGGCTTATAAGGTATTAGAGAACAAAAAAAGCAATAAAATAGAGCTTGGAAGAGCATAGGAATCGAACCTAGGGATCCGAGAACGATTCCGATTACGAGGAGAACGACGGTGTACGGAACTCTAGTGCCATTAAACAGTTGTCTACACGCGGTTCCGAGAACCAGCGAAGCTCCCGCGAAAATAACAGCATCCACAGGATTAGAATCGTACTCTGCTGAATACGAAGTAGAGGACATTGCTATCTCCGGTGACCTGTACGGCATGTCCCCGCCGATTATACTCGTCATCTCCGTTTACAACTTGTTGTTCTGTGTGATGGACAACAACAAAAATACTGACTGGTTAAAGAGTGTGTTTTGTAATACCGGTCTTGTACGGTTTAGAGGTTAACTCGACACTCGTTAGTCGTTTGAGTTGGTTTATGGTATTTCTTATTGAATTACTAAAGATTTATATAATACCCGAATCAAATGAGAGATTGGGAGGACATACATATACATAAGTTTACGAAACCCAAACGATCAAACAAAGTTAACCGGAGTTGGTTTTTTTGTTTGCTCCATAGTCCAAATCCCATGGCATCGGCATGGATGATGGACCTTGCCTGATCAAAACTATACATGCCCATAAACGATGCCCATAAACGATGCACGTTGTGCATCTCTCTATATATATATATGTATCATTGATTAAAATGGTTTAATTATTAGACCATGACGTGAGATCATGCAAAGCAATTACGTACAATAATGCACGTATCATCATATATAAATATTGATTACTACAGTATATTGAAATTGTAAATTGATATAATATTTAAGTATCATGTAAACATCATCACTCGTCGTTCTTCATCTTCTCTACAAAACAGAGTAGCTAGGAAAAAAAGGAACAGTCACCTCGAACATCTAGTAATAATAGTAAATCTTTAGTACGTAATATCTTCAAGACAATATGCATGTATGTATGTATGTAGTAATAGAAACATGAATGTTGACTAATACAGTCAGATTTTCGAACCAAGAAATGAACACACTAATTAATATAGGTTTGGCAGAACAATTAATTCCCCCGTTGATTTGTGGTTCGTAAAACTTAGATCATATGTTTTCAAAATTCAATATATCCCAATTGAAAGGGTATTATACAGTACTTTATAATTTTACGTCTAGGCACAACATAATAATTAGAAAAGGTTGTCAAAATTCTTACCAAATTGTCTTTTAGACATATATATATACATTTACTTTTAATGTTTGGAGATAATATACAGTTTTATGTATTTTTCTTTTCTCAGGTAATAAAGGGAGAAAAATAATAATAAAATTTATGTGTAGCAAACTTGAGTTTGATTGAAGAAGACTGGTGTGAGTGTGTGTATATAAATATTGTCGTTATTTCCTCCATTTTTTTTTCCTTCTTCTCCCAAATTAAACCAAAAAAAAAAACTCAGATCTCACGATTTGAGCCAAAAAAAATACAATGAGGACACCGACGACGCTGCTCCTTCTTGTTGGAGCTATACTCTTCTCCGGCACCGTCCATGTCAGATCCGATGCCTCCGACCACCGTTACAAGGAAAGAGACACCGTTCCTCTCTACGCCAACAAGGTCGGCCCATTTCACAACCCAAGGTAACTTTCTTATTTTCTTCTAGATCTGATCTTCAGATCTGAGGTTGTATCGGATTCTTAGACCTGAGGACTGAGAAATTGATCACTACATACGATTGATCCAACGAATCTGTTGCTGTTGAGATGAGTAACTAGACCTTGAAATTTGAGTACACGTCCCAAAAAAAAAAAGCGTAATGTTAAATCCATGGAGTGAAAGAAGAAACTAACTACATTTGGATCTCTCTTTATATATGAATACTTTTTGACCCATTCTGGTTTTTGTTCAAATGATGATGATTGCAGTGAGACTTATCGGTATTTTGATCTTCCCTTCTGTATCCCAGGTATGCACTACTGATTTTAACTCCTCATTTCATTTGTTTAATGATAGATCGGACTTTGCTGCCACTGAAATAGCTTAAAGTCTTGTCCTTTCACATTGATTTCGTATGTTTGATTTTGGTCCCATTGGTTTTGATATACAGAGGGTGTGAAAGAGAAGAAGGAAGCTCTTGGCGAGGTTCTGAATGGGGATCGTCTTGTTAGTGCTCCATACAAGCTCAACTTCAGAGAGGAAAAAGAGGGTGAGGTATACTGCAACAAGAAGCTAAGTAAAGAAGAGGTCAAACAGTTCCGAAAGGCTGTTGAGAAGGACTACTACTTCCAGATGTACTATGACGATCTGCCTATCTGGGGATTCATTGGGAAGGTTGACAAGGATATCAAATCGGATCCGAGTGAATACAAATATTTCTTGTACAAGCACATCCAGTTTGAGATTCTATACAACAAGGACCGTGTGATTGAAATCAGTGCCAGGATGGATCCTCATTCGCTTGTGGATCTCACTGAAGACAAGGAAGTCGATGCAGAGTTTATGTACACTGTGAAGTGGAAGGAAACTGAGACTCCTTTTGAGAAAAGGATGGAGAAATACTCTATGTCGTCTTCTCTTCCGCATCACTTGGAAATTCACTGGTTCTCTATTATTAACTCCTGCGTCACTGTCCTTCTTTTGACTGGGTTCCTTGCAACTATCTTGATGCGAGTCCTCAAAAATGATTTCATGAAGTAAGTTTCAGGTTACTCTGTTACACCTCATCGTCAAGTTTTTGCACTTTTTATCTCATCTGAACTTTTTTCTCACACTTAAAAGGTATGCTCAAGACGAGGAAGCTGCTGATGATCAAGAGGAAACTGGATGGAAGTACATTCATGGGGATGTCTTTCGCTTCCCTACTCACAATTCTTTGTTCGCTGCATCGCTCGGTAGTGGCACTCAATTGTTTACGCTGTAAGTCTCTCATAACTCACGTATTTTCTCATCAGGATACACTTTTATCCATATCTGCATATATATCCTATCATAACTAATTGATATTTTCCTTTTATCCACTCTCATCAGCACCGTATTCATCTTCATGCTTGCTCTTGTTGGAGTGTTCTACCCATACAACCGAGGAGCACTATTTACCGCTTTGGTGGTCATCTATGCTCTCACATCTGGTATCGCCGGATACACATCTGCCTCTTTCTACTGCCAACTTGAAGGAAAAAGCTGGGTAAATACTTACACATGACATGAATCCCTTTCTCAAAAACATCTTCAAACGAAACTGAATTAACTTCTTACTTTTTGACATTGTTGCAGGTGAGGAACTTGCTACTCACTGGATGTCTCTTCTGTGGGCCGTTATTCCTAACCTTTTGCTTCCTTAACACTGTAGCCATCACCTATACCGCAACTGCCGCATTACCCTTTGGAACTATTGTGGTAATCGTTCTAATATGGACTTTAGTCACATCGCCTTTACTCGTCTTGGGTGGGATCGCTGGTAAAAACAGCAAAGCGGAGTTCCAAGCACCATGCCGTACAACCAAATATCCCCGAGAGATTCCACCACTCCCTTGGTACAGAAGTGCTATTCCACAGATGGCCATGGCTGGATTTCTTCCTTTCAGTGCCATCTACATTGAGCTTTACTACATTTTTGCAAGTGTCTGGGGTCACCGGATCTACACCATCTACAGCATTCTCTTCATCGTCTTCATCATTCTCATCATCGTCACTGCTTTTATAACCGTTGCCTTGACTTACTTCCAACTGGCTGCTGAAGATCACCAATGGTGGTGGAGGTTGGTTAAACTCAGTGCTCATCATCTGTACTCTTTCTCTCTGATCATTAGAACTTGAGCCTGATTCTTCTCGAAATTTTGTATTTGCAGATCGTTCCTTTGCGGTGGATCGACTGGTTTGTTTATCTACGCATACTGCTTATACTACTACTACGCAAGATCAGACATGTCAGGGTTTATGCAGACCTCGTTTTTCTTTGGATACATGGCTTGCATTTGCTACGGATTCTTCTTAATGCTCGGAACAGTCGGGTTCCGTGCAGCCCTCCTCTTCGTTCGTCACATTTACAGGTCGATCAAATGCGAGTAAGAAGTCTTGGAACCAATATTCTTCTTCTTCTGCTTCTGCCTCGTTACGAATTTTGCTAGAACAAAGAAGATAAAGAGATAGGTTTGGTTAGAAAGAAGAGAGACACAAAAGACAATGTCTGATTTATTGTACTTGGAAAAGCAAGGGGAAAAGTCTCTCTTCTTCTCTCTTTATTTTGGGCTACACAAATTAAAATTACTTGTATCGTTTTTCAACATTTTTCACGTATTGTAAAAGACTATATATTACAACATTTGAATTCGAGTTTCCTTGTATCTAATAAATTTCAAAGACTCCGATTTTTCCCTTGTCAGTTCGCTGTGTCTCTACATATCTTCAGCATATGCTGCACTTTCATCATGTAACGAAGTAAATAAAAATTAATGAATAATTCCATTACTTTTGCTGTACTTGTTTGGATCCAAATTGAAAGATCCAAAGTTTGACGGCAAACAAAAAAACGATACTGAAAGATCCAAAGTTAGATTTTTGGTTCATGGGGAAACTAAATAATTACTGACACACAAGGCTTCCATGGGCCTAACTATAAAATATAGGCCCAACTACAAAAAAAACGCTCATTCGACCAATAAAAAAATAATTAGAGCTTCGGTTTTTTAATCAAATTTTGAATTTCGAATCCTCTTCTTCCTCCTCCTCCAGTCTTCCTCTTGAAATTAGAAACCCTAGACTTCTTCAGCGAGCGAACTCTCTCACTCTGTATTGCGATCTCTCGTTGAATCTGAGTTTGGTAAAAAATGGATCTCTCACGAGAAGTCGATGGCTACATCAAAGAGACAATCGACGAATCTTTAGGGCTTCCGATCTCCACGGACGCTCTCCAGAGGAAGCTATACGCGGCTGAAGAGTCTCACCGTCGTCTCCGTGAGCAGTACCTGTCTCTGGTTTCGAGATTGAAAGAGAGAGACCAAGTAATCGAACTCGCTAGATCCGAAGCGAGTATGAATGCGCAGGCGTTGAAGAAATCCATTGGAGAGAATCAGAAACTGGCTGGCGAGTGCGATGATTTGGTGATTCACTGTAAGAAGCTGGAAAAAGAGTGCTTACTTTATCATCAAGATCGTGAATCGCTTATGGATTTTGGGAACGAAACGGACGAGAGGGCAAGAGAAGCAGAGTCTAGGGTTCGTGAATTGGAACAACAAGTTCGAGAAATGTCTGATGAAATCGAATCTAAGGAAGACTGTTTGGTTGATTCTGTTTTGGGTTCGTTCGTTATTAGCAGAGATGAGAGTATATCATCGGGGCATCTATTCTTGGAGGCGAACAGGGAAGACGAGTTTTATCAAGCTTTGTTGAGCAAATGGGATGAGTTGAAGCCATCAACGCAAAAGGTTTTGTCTTTAGTTTCAGTGGTGAAGAGAATCGAAAAGGAGAAAGAATGTCTCATCTTGAATCTTGCTAAAGCAGAGCAAGAAGTGGAACTTGTGAGCGAGCAAAACAGGGAGCTGGATAGAGAGAACCGCAGGTTTTTGAGGCAATGTTCTGTAGAGAGAAGCAGCCATGGATCTAACAAGTTCAACAAGAGAAAGAGTCCCAAGTTGATGAACAGCCCGATCGAGAAGAGGATTGAGTTGAGCAGCCAAGATTTTCCATGATGCATAAATTTTTAGATACACAAAGATTAAGAAACTTATCTACGAGATATATATATATATATATATATAAAGTGCTCATGATGATTGGTTTTTGATTGAATATGTTTGGTAATTATGAATATATATATATATATATATATATCAATGAAGGGTTCTGGTGATTTGTTTAGATTAAGTGGAGAAATGCTGTGAGGGACAAGCTCTGACTATGCCACAATGCAATTATGTATAAAAAATTATGAGAGACTTGGAGCATTCATTCTCTCACACCATTGGAAACACTGAATTTTAAAACTATATACATATCCTATATCCATTATGTTCAAGTTCTTCTACACCACTCACTTACTAGTCAACTGGATTTGGGAATGCTTTTTATTTGTTTAATCTTCTTGTATATACTGCATTTGACAATTAGTTTGCTGATGCTGTTGTATTGGCTAAACATGTTGCATTACTTGTTTTTTTCTTTATCTTTTAAAAATACTGTATAAGAGAGAATAATTGATTCTTGTTTCAGTGAAGTGAAAAGATTATAAATTTTGTCCAATAAGTTTTCTAATAGCATCTCCAGTCTCCATCATCATCACTTTCTTGTCAACAAAAATCTCTTTGGGCTTTTTTGGTTGTGAAAAGATGGCTAAAAGACTAGAAAAAGAGTGGGCTTTGGTTTTGTCTTCTTCTCAAATGGCTTTCTTAAAATCTTTTTATACGATGTTTCTTCTACTACACTGGCCAAAACATAAAGAAAAGAAAAAAAAATCGTTTCTTCTTTGTTATTTTTATTTCGGAGAAGATATTATTATTATTTTTTTTAAAAAATAGAAAAATGTTTACTACAATTTTAGGGTTCTCATCTTCATCTCTCTTCGGACTTAAAATAAAAGCCCCTTTTTTTTTTTTCTTCTTTCTTTTGTCTTGTTTTTCTTATCTTCTCGTCTTATATATATTCTTCTTTCTCTGTCTCTCTCCTCTCTCATGTAACATAACATAACCTTCTCTTTTCCCAATCTCTCTCAGGTTTCTCTCTCCTCTCTCTCCAGAAGGGCAAAAAAATTCCCTTAAAGAGACCTCGTTTTGTTTAACCCCAACCCTCTTCTCATGTAAGTTTTCTCTCTCCTAAATCCATTTCCAATCTCCTCCTAAAACTATAAACATCATCTCTCTCCCTCCTTCCCTCTTTCTTCTCTCCAATTTCCATTTTACATTTTGGTCCCTTTTTTCTTTCTTTTTGTGTGTGTGTGTGTACTGTAACCCCCTGCTTTTCTCCCAAATCTTTGAATTCCATGTCCTGCTTCATTAGATCTAGCTCTCTGTTTACCAGATCTATGAATCTGCATGTGGGTTTTGCTAAGAAATTTCCAGAAAAAATAATGTCTGGAATTCATGTTTCTGGGTATCTCCGAGATCTGATCTTTCTCATTTTTTTTCGCTGGATATAAGATTATGTTTTCATTCAGACATAAGATCTTTTGTGCATTTAGACAGAGAACTCCTGAGTTTGATTTGGTTTGGTTTATCTATGGATTGTTGTTAGTTCTGTTCCTGTCTGAATTTCGGATCTGAATCTCTCTCTGTTTGTAATGACGTGTTCTTTTTTTTTTTTGGGTAGATCTTTGAAATGGATGACGATGGGTTTCGCAATTGGGGTTACTATGAACCAGCGGCTGCTACCTTTAAAGGTAATCTCGGTTTGCAGCTAATGTCAACCATTGATCGGAACACTAAACCGTTTTTGCCTGGCCGGGATCCGAATCTAATGATCGGTCCTAACGGTTCCTATCACCACCAAGAGCCTCCAATCCACATGAGCTACAATTGGATTAACCAACAGAAGGATAAGTTCTTTAATATGTTGCCTGTTACGACCGCTCCTAACTACGGTAATGTTCTTCCCGAAACTTCGTCTGCCCCGTCTATGCAGATGAATCTGCATCATCATCATCAATCTGAGGAGAACCCGGTTAAGTTGGAAGATGAAGTTGTTCAGCCTAATAATAATAAGAAGAGAAAGACTAATCCAAAAGCAGGTTCAGCAACAAAGGCTAAGAAGCCACGGAAACCAAAAGATGAGAACAGCAACAACAACAATACTAATGTTTCACGAGTGAAACCGGCTAAGAAGAGTGTCGACATGGTGATAAACGGAGTGAGTATGGACATTTCGGGTCTTCCTGTCCCGATATGCACTTGCACTGGAGCTCCTCAGCAATGCTACCGTTGGGGATGTGGCGGTTGGCAATCAGCGTGTTGCACCACAAACATCTCAATGCATCCTTTGCCGATGAGTACTAAACGCCGTGGAGCGAGGATCTCGGGAAGGAAGATGAGCCAAGGCGCGTTTAAGAAGGTTCTTGAGAAACTCGCGTCTGATGGGTTCAACTTTGGTAATCCTATTGATCTTAAGAGCCATTGGGCAAGACATGGAACTAACAAGTTCGTCACAATCAGATGATTAGTATCTTGATTAGTAAAAGAAAAAAGACGCGAGTGATCTCTTTCGGGATTGAGTCTCTCAAGTCTCAATGATGGTGTATATATTCAACATATCTGAAATCTGTGCTGTGACCTTTTAAAAGTTATGTCTGCAATCTCTGAGTTCGAAACTGTTTTCAGGTAAACCATCTTCGTTGTAGGGTTTGGAAGCAGAGTTCTCTGTTTCTTTTACCACTTTTTATATCATACATTGCTTTGTTTTTGTTTCTTTGTCTGTCTGTGTGTCTGAGTAAGGTGTCTGAGAAAATCTTCAGGGAAATTTATTTTTTTGTACTTCTTTTTTTCTCTTCCTTTTGTTATCTTTTTATAAACATTTTACTGACTTGTAACAGACATTCTTTTATTTAAATGTTTTTATTTTCCAGATTCCTCTATTTGTACTTGCTTAGTTACTTGCATGTAGAGATTAAGAGTGAAAAGAGCTTTGTCCCAAACTAGTAACGCAATTTAGCGCCAAATTTTATACGAACTGTGAATCATATAAACAGAAATCCAAATTAATACAGAACATAAACATAATTAAAAGCTAATTAAGTCAGGAATATCAATAGCTTTGGGAGGAGGAGAAACAGGTGCTTCTTCATTCTGTTCAAGTGTTATCAGATCAGAAAGAAGCATAACACCATTGGTCTCTCTTTCTTCTTCAATCTCCGCAGCACCTTCCTCACACGAATCTGTCTCCGTCGCTTCTCGTTGATCTTCTTTCACCTGCGTCCGTACAAGTTCATCGAGAAGTAACACGTCCGATTCAGGTATTGATACGAAATCAGGTATCTCTTGAGCATTAGAGACTCCCAAATCTCTACAGAACTCAAAATACTTAACAAGCTCTTTACTTTGAACCACAGATTTAGCAACGATCTTCAACGCAATATCCGCCTCTGTTTTCCCAACCTTGGAATGCACGTTAGGTAAAACTTCAGCGATCCGACGACAAATCCAACCATAAATCTCCAAAATCTCAGTAATCACATTCTCCATAGCTTCAACGATCAAAGGTATATGCATGTTCTCACCAATTGGTTTGATCCTAATCAAAGAATCAACGATAGCTTGCATCTTATGTATGATCGCAAGACGAATCATAACCGAAGACTCTTCATCGTACCGATGACGGTTCCCATCGTGGAACAGAATCGATCTCCGATCAAGAAACGCGAAATAAGTGCGTACAAAGAGACTAAACCCACCGGTTTTGCTCATAATCCGTGAATTACCTTGGCCGAAACTCGAAAGATCGAACGGTAACCGTCCGATAGATTCGGCGACGGTGGTCTTACAGAGGAAGAAGCCATGCATCAGCATTAAGCCTTTTAACGCAACCGCCCAGCTTCGTGTGCGTTTCACGCGAGACGAGATTGCGCTTATCAGAGGCTTGAGGCTCGACGGGCTTGCGAGGACGTGACGGTAGATGAACTGGGCGCTCTCTGTGTCGATGGAGAGCTCGCCGTGGCTCGTAGCTTTCACCACGGCTTGTGTGAGAATGTCGTCCGCCGCGATGAGGCTAGGTCCGTCTTTGATAACTGCGGCGGCGCATTTCCATAACTTCATCTCCCGTTTTGGTTTTTAATTTTGTTTATAATTAATTTTCTTCGAAGTTCCTTATAATGTCAATGATTTGCTGGTTTTAACAACTAATTAGATAAGAATAGCTAAAATTAAGATATCTCAGTTTTTAACCGAAATAAAACAATGTCATTTACTAATTTACTATCTTCCATTATTTTCAGTTTTTTTCTATTGTTATTTCACATAACTAAGCTCACTGGTTGGTTTACTATATATGTTCGTATGATTTTATTTTTTTACTTTCAAGTCTATATATAGACTAATAGTAGTATCTAATTACTAATGTGTCTGGTTACGACTTGTTTCTCACAATACTAACTATGGGGTGTGATTGGTGTTGTTAATAACGAATATTTTTGCTAAATTTTTACACAAACCATAAAGTAGCATAATGAATAGTCAACTCATGGGTCTCACAATTCGCTTTTTCAGACTTCTTTATCAAAAATAACATCAGATTCGTTGAAACCTTTTGATTTTATGCTTCTTACTAAATAAAATTATTTATAAAATATCACTTTTTAAAAAATCATAAATTATTTTGTTTATAAATAGTTAGAAACATGTGACCTCTCATACAATCCAAACTTATGTTATTTATTGCTGTTACTTTTTTCTTCTATTGGTTTAGTTTAAAAAATATATATTTCCTTTAATATCTCTGGAGACTCTTATAATACTTTAGTACTATAAATAAAGCACTAGTTCACTCGTTAGATTTGTTTATCACTAATACTTTAAGAACTTACTAACATAGCCGCTATAGTTTTACAATTTTAGCTAGTTTACTTATTTTTCTAACTATAAGTATTACACTTTACTAATGAACCCAATGGATTATATATAAGAAGTAAATATGGGTAGATGACAACTTTATGAGCTGAGGATACGAAATCAATTTCGAAATTATAGGTGAGTAAAAAAAGCAAAGTCAGTGAAACAGTTCGAAAAGTGGGTTTTATCACATTTATTATGACAACTAATAAACATATAAGTACAAATTCTTAAAGCAGTAAGTAACAATAATTTTTTTTTTTTTTTGTAACTCCCAACTCTCTCTGACACAAAAAAACAACATCATCTCTCATATCATGTCTTAACCTCAAAAACAAACCCTAAACTCAAAACATCATTACTCAAAATATAAGAAAGTCTCTATCTCTCTCTTCTAATTAAGCTAGGAGAAGCATAAAAAAGAAGAAGATGCAGAGTTCTTGTGTCTACCGAGAATGCATGCGCAACCACGCCGCAAAGCTAGGCTCTTACGCCATCGACGGCTGCCTTGAATACTCTCAATCAGTCACCGGCGATTTATGCGCCGCCTGTGGTTGCCACCGCAGCTACCACCGTCGCGTCGACGTCGTATCTTCTTCTCAAATCACCCGCACGCGCTTCCCTTTCACGAGCCTGAGGCGCGTGAAACAGCTCGCGAGGCTGAAATGGAAAACGGCCGAGGAAAGAAACAAGAATGCGGAGGAGGAGGAGGATGACACGGAAGAGACTTCGACGGAAGAGAAGATGACGGTGCAGCGGCGGGCGAAGTCGAAGTTCACGGCGGAGCAAAGGGAAGCGATGAAAGATTACGCGGCTAAGCTGGGATGGACGTTGAAGGATAAGCGAGCGATTAGAGAAGAGATAAGAGTCTTCTGCGAAGGGATTGGTGTCTCTCGTTATCATTTTAAAACTTGGGTTAACAATAATAAAAAGTTTTATCACTAATTTATTTAAAAATTGATTACTACTAGAGTACTAGTACTACTAGTAAGTATAACTGCAGTTCCATTTCATTGTCATCCCTTTTTTTGTGTGTTTCTCCTCCAGCTTAATCAATCTCTTGTATTTTAATGGATATTAGTAAGTAAGTAGTGTTTTTTATCACTTGTGTTCAATGTGTTTGATTTAAACATGTCCTTTGGTTAAATTTGTCTTTATGATTCTTCTTTTTACGTCGGTGGGTTTTGAGTTTTGACAAGACAACTAGCTGACGTTTTCTTTATGGTCATCACAGTTCCACCAATCAGAATATTACCATTCGAAAACATTCAAGTGGTGAACACTGAACAGTACTACATTATTAGTTTTACAATTAATTGTTATGAAAAAGGCTGTCAAAAATGACAATTTATTTTGTAATCAATTTTACTTTTGTCATAAGACAATTACAGTTACGGAAATAATAACACAACACTGTATTTTTCTTATAAATGACATCACTAAAGTTGTTAGTTTTGTAGAAAATAATAATTGTAAAATTAAATTATATACCATTTATTTATTATTTTTAATATCGTAAAACCATTTACTTGAAATTATGATAAAAACTCAATTCCAAGTTGACGAAAAGTTCTCTAGTCATATATGGGCCTTGATGGGAGTACAGGTTGTATTTATTGGCAGTCCAAGCCTAATAAGCCTGTTACGATTTCGCAATGTCGTCACCAAAAACAATGCCAATTCAGCTCTTAAAACCTCAAAAAGAAAAGGCTCTGCAGCTCAAAGTAATCTGTATATATACACACACATCCACACGAATCGAACAGCACACCAAGAAAACATGACATTAAGAAGAAAAGTTTGAAGCTACTATAAGAACTTAAACATCCATCTTCTCTACTCTTGTATTATCCTAAAGTCAGTCACAAGTCAACTCAAAGCCACACAACACACGAGTATACGACCACTACTTGTCTACAATTACTGGATCTGCATCAGTAGTAACTTCTGATTACATTCATCTAACTCTCAACTCCTACTCCATCTCAAGTTCTTATCATTGAACCAAGACTTAGTTATATAACGGTGAATCTGGTTCAGAGCCGTAAACTGAAGTGTATGTGGAGCCAGAATCTTCCTTTGGTATGGCCACAAAGTTCAATGGAGCAGTTGAGAGTTTCCTTACTTCCTTGAAATATCCGTTTTGGCGATGGCTCGAGTAAGATCTTGGAGTCACAATGTCAGTATTTGTTGCTCCAGCTGAGTTTCTGCGAGGCGTAGGAGGCACTGATGCATCCCCATTGTATCCGTTGGGCTTTTTTACACTGCTGCTTCTTCTTGGACTCGGTTTTGATCCATAAATTGATTCCCTCCTCTTTAATAAGAGATCCTGCATCTTCTTTTGATCCTGCAGAGGAAATGAGAAAAAAAATTGTTTAACAGGCAAGGGATATTGCAAATCGTAAGAATTATATAAAAGAGAGCATTTTGACAAACCCGGTATCGTTTCTTTTCCTCTTCCTGTTGTTTCCTTGTCAGTTTATAATCTTCAAGTATGGATACCAATCGAACCTGGAGGAAACAAGTAACCATAATCAAAGGAGAGAGACCTTATGGCTTTACAGTGTGTTTACTTTTAATTTTACTTTAACTTACACCATCATATAGAAATGATTTTTGTGTTTCATCCTCCCATATAAGCGTTTTCTTGATGAGATTGTCAACCATTGCTGCAGAAAACAATATAAAAATGGAACAATAAGCCAAGATCTCATAAGAATATTTAGTAGAAACATACAAAAACATACATGGGATCCTGTTTACTGTGATCCGGGCTCGTTCTGCGTGCTTGAGATTGACATGTCCACCTCTTCCAGCACTATACCGGGTTTCATCCTGAAACCAAGGAAGGAATTTATCAATTACATCATTCAAACAAACCCATTTTGCCAATTTTACAAGGCAAACTTACCTGGTTGTATTCTTCTAGCCAGTTTTCCTCTTCACACGCAGATAGCCAGCGGTCAATCCTATCAATTATTTCTTTCCGGCTATGTGCCTCTTCTTTGATTTGGTTTATATGCAATTCAATATTTGCAAGAAGCTCTGAAGGGTCCACTAATCCTGAAGAAACATGAGGTAATCTCTTATATACAGACGGGTTCCAGCTACTCATAATTCTGAGACGAACATATGCTCTATCGGTTTTCTTACCAGAATCAATCAAAGCAGTTGACTTCTCCAGCGATGTGCTTGTATCAGGCTCCATGTGAGCCAATTTGCAAAGATTCTCTAACTCAGACCTTCTTTTCATCACAAGTTCCTTCATTCTGCTTGACTTCAGCTTATTGAAACAGTCTACTTCTGCAGACACCTAATGCATAAGGCAAAATAAGAACTCAGAGATCCTGGATAAGATTAGTGGCAACTAAAATAAGGAAAAGAAACGGGATTTGTCATTACCTGTTCAATCGTTTCAGTAGAAAGGACATTTGGCTCAGTGATATCAGAATCAGATGATCTTACAACTAAACTGACTCTTGCAAATTTTACTCTCTCGTCCTGCGGTGTGTCCATTAGATTCCATAGCTCGAAAAGTGACCCCACTACATCCTTTAACTGCAAAATGAAAGGTAGGATCGCTAAACCATCAAAATGACTATCAACTTCATACAGAAGAACAGCATTGCAGACATGCTAATCTACCTTTTGAAAGCGCACTCCTCTTTCGGTTTTCAGCTTTTGAATCATGTGTTGTAGACCATCCAATGTAGTATCACTAATGTTTGTGGATTGCTCATGGTCAGTCCTATGTAAGCTTGGATGAACCTCGCTAACAGTTTGACCAAAATCTTCCCCAAGAACACCGCATAGAGTGTGCACCTCATTCACATAATCCAAAACCTTGTTCAGACGATCCGACTGCATAAAAAAACAATAACAAATGAGTGAGCCAAGAAGCTTCACTTAACAAAGTTAAATCTTGGCTCATCTTCTTATATATTCATGATAGAACTTACTCACCTTCTCCTTCTGGAGCGAGCGGAGATGTGTTTGGTACTCGTTAAGTTTCCGAAGAGTCAAGTCTTGTTCATCGAGAGTCAAAGAACCAAGCATGGCTTTGTTGAGTTGGTCATTGTATCCAGAGATTTCACCACTCATCTTCTCAATTTGAGTTTTGATATCCACAAATTGCTTCATTCTTTCATCTTTCTGCAATCTCAAGTCCTCAACAAGAGGAGTCACAGCGGCAAGCTTTTCTTTCAGTGATTTTGAACCTTTCTCTGCTTTGATCTGCAACCCAAAATTAAACATTTTTGAAACCAACAAACAAACAAAAAGATGGAAACTTCCTTTCAATTATAATATCAAGAAACCAAGTAGTAGAGTACTAGCTTATTTATACCGGTGAATGGATATTTAACACTCCAAGAACAGCCATTAAAGAAGCTATTTCAGCTTCAATTGATACAATTGATTGATGAAGCTTTGCTTTAGAATTTGCAGCCTCATCCACTTTTCTCCTGTAAATCTCGAGACACTCCCTCTCCAATTCCATTAGCATCCGGTCTTTCTCAGCATCACTCTCACCAATATCAACCCATATGTTCTGCTCCATACCCAACAAGACAAAATTTGCCATTAACCCCACAAAAATTCATGACTCCACCAAACATCAAATCAGATATCTTACAGATACTAGTAGAAGAATATGCTAAAAGAAGTCTACTATAAACCCTAAGAAACTCCAGAAAGAGTGACCCAATTCAGAGTAATCAACATATAGCTGACCAAAAAAAGGAGAAGACTTTATCAGTTAATTACCTCTTCCCTCCTTCAGTTAAAAACACAGACTTTGTTCTAAAAGCATCATTACTAAGAAACCCTAAATTCCCAAGAAACAGAGAAGAAGAGAATTATAAATATAAAAAAAAAGAGGGTCAAAGAAGAACCTGAAGCTCCCGAAGCAGAGCATTACAAGTAGTGTTTGAACGAAAAAAGAGAGTAGTAGGGCTTTCAATCTTGAGCATTTTTTTCCTTCTCTTTCACTTGCTCTAAAGTTAGAATCGTGAACCAGAGAGAGAGAGCTGAGCTTGTGAACAATGGCTGGTTAAGAAAACTCAAAGGAACCACAAAGATATAGACCGTTACTCGTAGAAAGAGATGTCAGATCTGAAGCTTAGCATAAAAAAGCTTATCATTACTTTTGCAGAGAGAAAAGAGATTTGATCAAACAAAGCATAGAATTCCGAGCAAAAGTTGCAAGAAAAGAGAGAGGAGCTTATTAGTTGAAGAATGTGTCATTAGTGGTAGAAGAAAAAAAAAAGGTTAAATAAAAAACTGAGCTTCTTTTTGTCATATTACAGAATTATCAAATTCTTATTTACATAAATGCTATTTATTATTTTGTTATTCTCTTCTTCTTCTTCTTCTTAACTTTATATTTTTTTGTCTCCACTTATCTTATTATATACTATTTTATTCGTTTTCATGAATGTTTGGGCGCGCGTAGTTGACACTTCCCAATTAGAATAAAGGAATAGAATTTGTATGAGTGAGTAGACTCAATTGTTTTAGTATTCGTCGTATCGTATATGTACGTTGCATGAACAACAACACCTCATGGACCAACGAAGATCATTTTAAATTAGTACGAAATGATTAAGGTAGCAGAAAGAAAGTATAAAGTAGTTTAGTTGTTTAAATACTATTATCGGCGTTGCAATGAACCTTTAATCATGAGAATATTTATAAAGAGGTAAATCACTTTCGAATAATGACAATGCCAAAATATTGTTTCTTTGTTTTGGTGAAGCTTACATTGATTAAAGATGTATATTGTATACAAGAAAAAAATAATATGCCAAATTGGTCTAATCCAAAGCAAGGCTGTGGTGGTGGTGGTGGTGGCCAATGTCACTCCACTCCACTAATTTCATTTAAGAATTAAGTTGGTATAATCTTTTATTTAATCAGCAATAAGTTAGTAGCATCATTATCCAAAACCTTTCATTATTGGCTTGGCTTTGACACAAGCCCACAACTACTAATCAAATATGCAATTATTATGACATTCTATATTTAAATTCTCTGATTTTTTTTTCTTATAAAAAATGTTTATGCTGATTTCCCACACGTATACTGACATAACAAGCAGTCTTACTTTTGAGAGTTGATGATACTTTAGAAGAGAAAGAAACAGGATGATCCCAAATATGATGTTGGGTTTTTGCAGTTGAATTATTATTAGCCGACAAGTTTCAGTTCTAACCACTTCATACGTACATAAAACAAGTCCGTTGCAGATTATACAATCATCTTTGTCTTTAACGTTTAAACTACGTAAATATAATGAAGTGTATGGACCTATTATTACTATTTATTATCTTATGTCTCCTGGTGCGGCTACTAAAATCCATTTAGTCTTATTAAACAAGTTTTTCTAGGATCAGCCATTCAAAATATCAATTATAATAACTAATGAGATATAATTTGAACTGAAATCACATACATGCATAATCATATGCATGTGTTATGCTGTTAAGGTTTGCAATTTTCGCATGGATTGAACAAATTCATCGAAAACACACATATAAGTCATGTCACATGACAATATATATTAATAATGTATAGAATTTTACAAACTTTTTTTAAAGAAAGATGCTTCATTCTCTAATCTTATTTATTTTGTTTTAAAGGATTTTAGATAAGCTGAAGTGTTGAACTAAAGGGCGTGTGGTAGACCCTACATGTCCGTGTGTACTCATTGCTACAAACAAAGTAATAATAAGTCTTATATAAACGCAAAATATATAACATAAGGAATTAAAAAGATGTAAACAAGCCTACTGAAAAAAGAGATATTATTAATTAGTTGATGTAAGGAAAAAAAAAAAAAAAGAGAGATATTATTATTAGTGATGTAAGAAAAAAAAAAATATTATTAGTGGGATACAAAGAAGCATTGAAGAAATTGGACGAAGAGAAGCGATCAAATTGAGGAAAGCCATGATTTCGCTGTCTCACAACAGTCACAGGCTACCTAATTTCACTGGTCACATTTTTAAGTCACACGATAATTAAAAGATTAGCCAAGCAACACACTATTAATGATCACATACAGACGATATCAATGAAAACTAAACATATCGTATGGTCTGATTTCTAGATATCTAAAACTGACTAGCCAATCTAACACCAAGACAGTCCTCTTGTGAATTTGATGACATTAAACAGTTTTATTTTGGAACCATTGCATAATGTAGTATACAATGAATAATCTACATAAACACACGTGTTAACCTGTTAAAAAGGTTAAGTTTTGTCCCATTCATAAATCTTCAACGTAAAGACTCAAGCATCACATCTATCTAATATATAATCATTCATGTATTGGCATAGAGGGGGGAAGAAAGAGAGAGAGGTGGTTGAATGATATAAGCTTTACATCAATCCCACTGTTTCAATAATTTTGTTAGGTGTGTGTGAATACAGCTAGAGAGAGTTTCGCACGGAGCTGGTTGGTCAAAACTTTTGACTCAAGAGGAAATTGTTAACAAAATTGACCAATCAATTAACTTCGGAGAAAGATAAAAATACAAACGCATATGATATTTCTCCATCAATTGGTCGGGTACTAGACTTGGCTAATCGGACTTTTGATACAGTAGGACATTGTCTAGGACCACCGGAGATTCAGTAGAGATTCTATTGCCGTATTAGTCAATCTTTGCTGACTACTACATCATAATATATACTGATAGAAAGGAGCAATAACATTAAGGAATATACAACGATAATGCTTGTTTTTTTTTAACTCCTTAAGCTGTTTACTAAAACACTCTAGAGGGAACTAGGCTGAATCAGTAAGAAGTCCAACAAAAGGTTCTTTATATGATTCTCTAATTAAAATGTTGTAAATTCAGAAAAATGGCATTCCTAATCAAGGTTTATTCTCAAAAATAAAATTTGAAGGATTTAAACAAATCAGTGATTGCTGGAAAAAAAAAAAGATATGAAATCACTCAACAAAATTGATTATGAACTAAGGTCAAGAATGACAAAGCAGAAGGTTCATTTCATATATCAGTTCTTTCCAATAACTCAAGGCCAGCCCATTTACATTTGTTTCTCATATCCGGTAAGGATGTACAGTACTTGAAAAGAGAATTTGTATGATGGGAAATGGGATATTCTAATATTCCGCTATCAAGCTGTATTATGTTTCGGAAAAAAAGAAAAAAAAAAATTGTAAACAATAATCGAGAAAATTTGGAAGTCTATGACAATAATTGATGTACCAGCTTAGTTGTTTTTTCAAGTAGGTTTTGTTTTTTATCCTTTATCACATTTTAGTTAAACAACTGTACTACTTCAGCGTAACTTTTAGCATTTTAATTTTAAAATTATAATAATAATAAAATCTGGTTACAAATCACTTTGGTGATATAAGTTTAGATCGTTTTATAAAAAATCAATTACTTTATATTTGTGTTTACTCATATAAAAAAATCATCCTCTCTCATCCTTCCATATTAAAATGATTAATATATTAGTTAGTTAATTAATTATTCTTATACAAGTTAATTTCCGAGACCAGGACCATTAAGCCTATACTGTAGTCTATAGTGGTAGGGGACACAACATGGGTCCAATTCTCTCATTCATAAAGATTGGATAATGGATACGAATATTTCACATATCTTTTGTCTTTTATGCTCAGATTCTCTTCAATCATGAATAGTAAATACTGAACTATATGAAAAATATGTGGTTATAGGACTGGCATGAATTCACTACTACAAGTTTTTGTGGATGAGATTTTGTCGCATTATTTCACTAGATAATATATATGTAGTAAACTATGATTAATATGATAAAAACTCCAATCTTTGTGGATGAGATTTTCTCGAAGGGAAAAAAAATTCAACTTGTAATTTCTTGGAGACATGTTTGCGAGAAACAATTGGTATATATGAACAAATATATTGATATATGACTTTTGAATTGTAATATATGAAGATCAAAGTGGGAAGTGAATCGTGGCAGAGCTTTGAGAGATAAATGATGATTTCTATAGAGAGAGAGAGAGAGAGTAAGAAAACGGGTAAATTTTGCTATTGGTCTCTTTTGCTTCTCTCCTAAAAATAATTCCTCCAAGTGACAAAAACAAACGACACTTGCATCGAATTCGCCGCTCTTTTTTTACAGTTTATAAACTGCACCTCAGATTTCATATCTCTCAAAAACTAGCTTTTCCCTCTTTGCTCTATCTCTCTTCTTCAGCTAATTGCTCTGTTTACCATTACTGCCACCGCATTCCCCTGCAGCACTTCCGTTACGACCTTCTTCCTTCGTTTTCACATCTTGTGCAGGGTTGCTGCTTCCCTCGCTGTTGTCTGCTTTCTCTGGGGACCCTTGTGTAACATTTTCTTGGTTTGAACCTGGTGGGAGGAACACACCGGTGCCAGGGATGAGCATTCGAGGTTGTGGTGGCGGCTGGTGCCGTGGATGAGGTGGCAACAGTGGCCATACCGTTGGCCCTGGTGGCACAGCACCTGGGAACGGCATTGGAGGGGCAAGCGGAGGAGAAGGGGCTATGAACATCGGTTGAACAGATCCGTTTGGTGGGCGGTGAGACGGTGTGGGCAAGACACCAGTTGTTGGGATAACCGGGTAGTGTTTAGGTGGTCCGGTTGGGTGACGGATGTGGTGATTCGGCGATCTGCTAGGCGGGGGTCCCCAGTTAGCTCCGGTTATGGAGCTTCTTGGTTTAGATTTGATGAAGGTGATGAGTATCCGTTGCTTTCGGGTTGAGTGGACTGCATACTTAGCAAGATTTGCGGATTTGCCTTCCACCATAAGAACCGATCTGTTCAAAGTACCAAAATAGATTGATGACAAAAGGATTGACAGATCTCGAGTTTGCAGAATATGTATATGAATTCAGTTACCCGGGAGTGAGAGACAACTTGAGAGAGCCCTTGTAGTCGCCAGGATGATCAGAGACAATGACTCTTCCGAATGTGAAATCGCATTCAGACAAGGACAAGACACACACGGGTCGTCCAAACCAAGGAACAAACATATGAGGCTGCGAGTGATCTCCCTATGGTTCACAATAAATAGAGGACAAAAGAAAACTCCTAATTTGTTAAGAAGACAGAGACAAAAAATACTTTTAGGGGTTTCAACGAATTTAGCAATCAGTTTAACCTCGCTGAAGAAGTCAATGATGCATGCGTCTGGTTTCACAGGAATGATTTGCTTTGTCATCAAACGTTCAATGATGTCTGAAAGAGATGATGGGATTGGCTCTATTCTTCGATCTGCATAAAACCCATATCTCATGTTAACCCATACACATAAATTAAAAGTAGAGAAAAAAAATTAAGGGAGAATATTTTAAAGGACATGCCTTTGATACTCTCATCATCAGGCGGCGTATCAGCTATGGGGAGACCAAGTTGGATCATCTCACGTCCATGTCCTCTATTTGGCCGCTTATAACCCACATATGCCTCACCTGTTTCCCATTAACCAACGGTTTAAGACCCCACTAGAAACAAGTAAAATCATTACAGTAGAGCAAACACGATTCTTACTTTGAAGTTGACCTCTTCTACCAGAAAGTCTCAGATTGTTCACAAGAGAAACGAGTTGAGAAACCTCCTTTGCGTCAACCATTTTGTCGTACAGCTTCAATCCTTCGACAACGTTAACCTACTCAACAAAACTCAGCAACTTAGTGTCCTAGGCGTAAACTATAAACAGACACTAAGAAAATCCAACTCACCATTTTTGCTTCATACATCTCTTGGACAACAAAAGTCTTTGCCATGCTTGCAGGACACTCTTTATCTTTCTCTTCTCGCTTTTGCTCTGAACTGAGACTGTTATCTGAAACAAAGAAACAACGCATAATCAGAATAATGCAACCAAGTCTAATATCAGGTGAAAACCCAAGAAGTAAGGTAAGTACCTTTAGAAGCCGAGTTACACTTATGGTTCACTATCTCCTCTTGAGTTTCAGATTTTTCCAGGTTTTTCTCGACTTTACTATCGCTCTTTGGTTTCTCGCTACCATCTGTCCCACAAACAAACACAAACAAAACTTACACTTTCTGCAGAGCAAAGAGTCCAAAGACTAAACCCGAGAGATTAAAACAGTATCTTCCACCATCAACATGTTCCCCAATATACAATGCACTATCTCATACAGTCATACCAAACTGCAGAAAAAAAATTAACAGCAATAAAAGATTGCTTTCCTTACAAGCAAGCAAAGCCTTGAAGCCAAACAAAGACTATTTAATTACCTTTCTTCTCCTCTGTAACAGATAATGCCTTAACATCACTTGCTAGTTTAGCTTCCTCCCGATTCTCAACATGATCACTGCTTACACTATGGTAATCCGAGGTCGAATTGAAATTATGCCCGTTTCTGGCCATTGAATCAGCTCCTCTGTAACCACCACCATGATGCTTGTTAAACCCAGGCCCTGATCTCCTTCCTCCAAATTTCCCAATCTGATCAGAACTGTAATGCCTTTGAGGTGGCATCTGCTGTTGCCGTTTCCAAGCAATCTGTTGAAGGTTGTAAGAAACCTCAGCCACTGGGTAAAACTGCTGCATAGTAAGAACCTGAGACCAGCCTAAACGACGGTGATGGATGCTTCTGATCACGGAATCGTATTCGTTGTGATCTCCGATCGTTTGTAAATGCTGACAAAGGGAATCGATGATCGCGTTAGCCGCAGCAAACTCCGCACGCAGCCAAGAGATAAACCCATCTCGCTCGTCCGGGATCCAATTTCCGGCGACGTTAGCGGGCGGAGGAAACTGCAATTTCTCAGACGGAGTAACAACATTTCCTGGTGGCATTGCCATTTGTGGCAACAACAAAGGACAAAAAAAGCAAGTATCTTGTAGATAAAAACCGTTCCTTTACTTCTCACTATCAACAAACACAAGTCATAGCTTCCTTCAAACAGATCTGCAGAATCAAGTAGAAAAAGATGAGCTTTTGATTCAATTGAACGAGATCACACACTAAATCTTGGGAATTCAGATGAAACCCATGAAGAAATGAGATAAATTTAGGAAGAAAAACACTAAACCCAAAAAAAAAAACGAAATTAGAGGAAGAAGCAATCACCAAAAATGTGAAGGGTTTTTGAGGTAAAACGAGGAGTGAGAGACAAACAGATCTGGCAAAATCGAGTAATCCCTCGTCTTCAACGTGAAGCTGTGTGAATAAAGAAGAGAAGAGAGTAATCTAGTTAAAGTGATGTGTGTAAACAAAGGGAAGCTTCCCTAAAAGGGAGAGAGAGAGAGAGATCTAGGGTTTTTGAGGAAAGAGGTGTAAAGGGTAAGAGTGATTTTTAATTTTTTGGCTTAGTTAAGACGCATGCGTTTAACAGTCTTAAACGGTGGCTTTCCTTTGATCACTTCTCTCTTTTACACTCTCTCTTTCTTTTTCCTTCCCCCCCTTCCATAAATTTCATCCTACATTGTCAAATCATATTCATACTCAGTAAAATTTTAATTATTCGGACTTATTTCTCATAATTTCACTAATTTTCCTATGTCAAATGCACGATTAATTCATCATTAACACAATTCGAATTAATTTCACGTTTAGTGTATTATTATTTGATGCATATCAGATTTGGAACGAAATCGAGATTCCGCATCTTTATAAATATGCTTTTTTCATATTTATCACGTCACTAATTTTGCTTTGAATCAAATGGGCCTTATGGCCCATAGTATCCATCATATGATAAAAGATTTAAATATGAATCCATATGACCCCATGAGATGATAGATAGATTATACGTTTGGTAAGTAAGTTACAGCATTTTGTTAAAGTGTCTTGGGTCCATTCCACGACATATTTCGTAAAACAAGTACGAATTGTGGTGAATTCTCAAAATAGATATGAGTTTTTTTTACTTTACGTGTGTTTGGAACTTTCATTGATCAGACTTGAGATAATAATTCAGATTAGTAGTAGTCGACAAAACATAATGTATATGTAAAAGCTGATCTTTGACTAAATAACCCAAGCTTTACATTCCCACTAATTACGAATTTTATTCTCTTTACTAAAAAGTCTTTCATATCATTAATCAACTGTCGGGTTACATAACCAAGTCCACATATACTAAGATGACACGTATTAAGATCCTTGTTGCCGTTTTTGTTATCCTAACCAAACCACTAATTCAGTCTTTGTATGGTATTTTGAACCTTTTTTTTACTAGGAAACATATGGCACTGATCTGTTACATTACATTACATACGTCCCAAAATATACGTCTTTTACATGAAACAAAAACATATGAAGATTTTGGAATAAATGAAAAACATCGCATGGACACGCAAGTCAATCCCAAACGGACCCACGAGTTCTTACATCGATGTACCTCGAAATGACATTTATCATTGACACATTTTTTTGTATATGTGAATGAACTGAAATGTGTATATGGTCACACAATAGCTAGACAAATAAGTCAACAATGATTTGGACCCAACGACGAACACTTGTGCAAAGTAAACAAACGTACTCAATTCTGTTGAAAAAACCAAGATAGTGATGAGAACATATATGGATGCAGGATCCAGATGAAGAAAACAAAACTCAAGAAAAAAAAATATGTTGACATTTTAATGTGAAGTTTACAATACTATTATAGTTTTTTTTGACATCATTGTCCATTATATTTTATTATTCACTACTATACTATTCTCATCATTCTATGATTTCAATTTTATCAAATATTTAAAACTATTATTCTTCATTTCAAATAATTAAAACTATTATTCTTAAGTCAAAAATATATCAGTGCGATTCCATTATTCTTAAGTTCATAATTCATATATTCCTATACAAGAAAAAATGCCAAAATGTCGACAAAAAAAAAGAAGAAAAAATGCCCTCTAGCTGAACATTAGACACCGATTCATATTGCCTCAGTTCCGGCTAAGCGGCTCCTGCTCCGGTGCTTCCCCCGCCGGTGGCCGCGAGGAATCCCTCCGAACGTGACCGGATCGTAGACCCTGAGACGTTTAGCCTCGGCTGGATTCACTACGCATTCGGACAAAACCACCTTGTACCTCATATGGTCGTAACAATACGAATAAGTCATGTGTTTCCGTCGGAAAATCTCCATTTTGTTCCTTTGAGACACAGTTATCTCCGACGCCAGCCGAAGATCCTCGACCGCTTCATCTTGGCAGGCCGGAAACTTCTCTGTGGGGTCGACGGCGCAGCCGTGGAGGATTAGATCAGTGAAGTGGGTGACGTAAGGGGCATATTTGTAATTTACACCGTATTTGCCTCCATCAGTTGCCCATTTGGAGCCATCCCATATGGTTGCGTATAAAGACATTGGCTTCGCCGGGAAGTCACCGCCCATTGACGCCGTGCGTTTCACTTCTCTTATCGGAACATTGTCTACATAAAATCTGCAACCACATAAACAAAAAAAAAAATTCCTCAAACTCTCTTCACATGAAAGTTATCTAAACGGTGACATTTTTGGTAAAAAAAAATACAGCTAAAAAGTGAACTAGAGCTACCAAAATACTCTGTTTTAGGTACTCTGTTGTTTCCAAAAATCGAATGCTGTAATTTCAATAACTTTCCAAAACAAGAAACTATATCCACCAGCTTTACTTATAAAATTGAATTCAGGTCACACCCTCTCATCTTGCATAAACCCAAGTTAGCTTTCCTTAAATAGAAACATCAAGTAACGGCTTTAATTTGGCCGTCTAAAGCCTCTGTTCACTATTCTAATTGCTATAGTTTAATTGATCTCTAGAAGCTGGGTTAGTAAGGAGAAATTTTGGGAGATTGTTTATACTTACATGATGTGAGAAAGAGACCAGAGGATACTATATTGATGGAACTCCTCAGTTGGATCAAACCAAAGATTGTATCTTTCTTCTCTGCCCAAATGTGTGCTTCCATTGCCGTATATGTTCGTCTGAATCCTCCATTCTTTGCCTCTAATATTCCCCAAGAACTCAAAATCAATCTCGTCGTGATTCTTCTCGTACAAGTCCCCATTTGATAGCTGAGAAGATGAACAGAACAAAACGTTTTCAAGATTTATGCTTTCTCTAGTCAGTAATGGAAAAAAAAAAACAAGAGAATCATATGAGAAATATCTAGTTTTGGGTGGACCCAAATAGCTAAAAACATTGTGAAAAAATCAAGATAAAAGTTAAGAGGATTAATTGGTGTTGCTTACATAAAAGGCGATGACAACTCCTGCAGAGTAATCTGCTGGTAACTTGATAGAAGAGCTGAAGAACCCATGTAAGTATATATCATTTGAGACAAACCCAGAACCTGTAAAACAACATGGTTTTGTATTAGCATATCATTCAAAACTAATCAAGAAACATAAACCAATAACAAGACTCAAGAGGAACAGAACAAGAAACACGAACCGGTTCTTTCATCGAGCGTTAACCGGACGGATTTGCCGTCTCTGTGAACAACCAGATTCTGGTCACCAAACAGGTGTGTGTAACCTTCGTCGAACTGAACAAGAGGAAGCTTCTGTAGAGCAAACCCAGAAACCAAACCAGCCAAGAGTGACATGAAAACAAAAAATCGAGTTAAGAAGCCCATTTCTTTATGTATGTAAACGTTTCTTCTGTGTGATAAAAAAAATAACAAGCAATGAAGAAAAGATAGAATATGGATATAAATGGATAAATAGCGTATTGAAGACGAGCTATGGAGGTGTGTTGAGACTTGAGAGAGAAGAAGAAGAGAGTGAAGAAAATAGTATGAATATTATGATGAGGCCAGAGTACGTCTGGCTATGGTTGGTTTATACACTTTTTAATTAATCTTCACAGATATATAAATGTCAGCTTGTTTTTTCCATAATTACTTTGCTTTTTTTTTATTGCATTGGACCAGTAAAAAGATTTTTAAAGGCTATATGACTTTTCCCCTAAAGATTCTGATAGGTAAATTACTATGGAATCTTAAATTATGATTCTAAAATATACAAATCAACTTGATTTTCAAGAAACTTTTTTATTATTATTGTTAGATCAATGTAATAGGAAGATTTTGATTAACACATAGTAATACTTATAATCACGTTAAAAGAATCATTTATAAATTTAAATCAATCAGATATATACACTATTTCTAAAGATAGTGTAGCGTTGAAGACAGAGGAGAAGAAAACAAGAGTAGCAAGAAAGGCATAGGGTGCTTTGCTTCTTACACATGTGTCCCGACAAATAGTCACAGGTTGAGTCACTAAACACTGCTATATTTATCTCTTTTTTGCTTTCCAAAAATAAATTGAAAAATTACGAAAAATCTATAGAGATGGAAAGGTTACAAGTTCTGTAAACAAAATTTGTTTCAATCATCGTAACATTGTAGGTAGGAATCACATATATACATTTTGAAAAACACTCATATTTGTCTTTTTTTGTTTTTGTTTTTGTGTGTTTAAAATTGTGAATTTTTTTTTTCTTATCAATTGTAGCTTTTTTCTTAAAAGCAATCATAAGACAATCCAATATACAAGTGTGGATACACTAAAAATCAACGTGGGCGAAAAATATGACTTTTTCTTTAGAAGCTATAAGGAGGATCATGATCGGGGAAGAGTGGGTCAGGATGTAACGTTTGACACCACCGCGGAGCTGTGCCAATGAATGATCGATAAGTGCCCGGCTGCTTGAGATAAACGGCATCGTCGAACACTCTTTAAGTGTAAAAGCAACTTTAATTTACCGACTCGAACTAAAAACAAATAAAAGTAACTATCTCCACCTAACCCCCCTGCAGCTCAATTTTACTACAATACTAGTAGTCATGACTCGCTGACCCGGATGTATTAAAAGCATATATAATTGATGTTTTTTTTTTTTTTACTATTTCGTGTTTTAACGTAGCATGAAGATTCTCTTATTTCTCGAAAACAAAAAGAAAAAAATATCCTTGAGTCGCTTAGTAGTTTTATCATGGTATTTTGTCTGAAGCTGTGCTAAGACTCGTATAAACTACGAGTCTATATTACACATGAATACTTTAGCTTACTTTTTTTGTGAATGGCTTGTGCGTCTGACTTTGTTTCAGAGTGAGCTTAAAATTATGTTCGGGTGAGAGCTAGCTAACGTATACACATCAGCATCAAGTAGCCGTTGGACCTCTCCTGTGATGGTGCCCACTGATAAGTGATAATGGCAATGGAAACATACAGTGTAAAATAATTATTCAGCTGCGGAATTAACGGCAACTTTGACGCCGTTAATACCCTTTTGTCAGGTCTGGAAACTGGTGGGTAGGTAGGTCCGCATTAGTTCACGCGCGTTACTAGATAAATAAAGAAAGCAAATTCACAATATCATTGTTGTGTATAGAATTTGGTATGAAAAAAAAAACAAAATACTATTAACATTTGTTTTGCTCTTCTTGGTTTTTGGTTAGAAAAGTTGGAAATAATAAATAATAATACTTGTAGTTTGGGAAGTCACAACGGTCATCGTCCCAACAAGTCTGCTGGTGGGATCAAACGGAATAGCGAAGAAAAAAAAGAGTGTGTTCAGCTAACGTGCGTGCCCGTTGTGTAGTTGTTAGCTTTGGAGGCGCTCACACATGGAATCTAATGGAAGATCCCAATGTGGAATATTCACGTGAGATAGTATTTTCTTGTTTGCATCACAATGTCACGTTGGTAATTAAATAAATATCTCAGCCGTTCATTTTTCTTCATGGGGATTTTCTTCCCCCATGCATGTGGGTACTTTGTTTATAAAGTTTTTTTATTTTATTTTGCTGGACTCAACGGCTACGATCCGATATTTGGCTTTGTGCATTTAGCCCCTAATTAAATAAGGGTTGATATGCGTGAACTATATAGTATATTCTACTAGTCTATCAATAAAAGGCGTTTGGGGGAGGGGAAACTGGTTTATATACTTGTAAACTTTTAAGGTTAAAATGCGATTACGTTACGTACCGTGAGAAACATTTAATGGGCCTTTGTTTTTTAAAGCCCGATATGTATTATGAAATAAAATTTTATCAGAGACAATATCCGAAAGAAGTTCATGCCCGGCCGTACATAGGAGATTTGTCATCCTTTTTTTTTTTTTTTTAAAGCATAATACACTGTATGTCATCTAAGATAAATTAGTGATATATACTCGATTTATTGATAGGATGAAGTAGGTGTCAGGTGACCAAAAAAAAAAAGAAGTATGTGTCAAAATATTCAAGGAGGATAATTAACTATATCGTTGAATCCTTCAAAAGTATCGGTTTGATATTATATTTTGGTCAAGATATTTCTTTTTCTTTTTTTTTTGTCAAAGGTTAAGTTTGGTCAAGATAGTTGACCATAAATTCATAATTTTAGTCAAAAGAAAAAACAAACAAACAAACAAATGGTCAGTCCTGGATCGGTCTCACCACTTTCATCCTCCTTGGTGTAGATATTTGTTTACTTGTTTATCGACTTGTTGTTCCTAGTCTTGGTACCTTAGACATAAACCAGCCTATATCTTCCAATCATGGGCTAATTAAGGACCATTATTTTGGTGGAGATGGATCACTTAATTAAAGGTGTATATAAGGAAATCTATCAAAACCAAAACTAATACTAGGCTTTAATACTAGTTTAAAATATTTTATTAATCATCTTGTTTGGTGTGTCTAACCCTAAATTGCTTTAGTTAGTAACTTTAGTATCATCATTCTTAATTAATACAGTAGTCTATAACATAAAAACGATTTCTATAGTTTTGGGGGGCGGATACTTTCCTTGCCTCTCACCCCATTCTAATCCTATCTTTATATTTTGCAAATATATTAAACTACTATCTCGCCGCTCTTTATGTTATGAAAAAAAAAAAAGCTATCACCGGACTTGTTTCTTCCATCTTCTAACTATGTCCTACCTCTCAAAATTTAAGAATAAACAACACATCCTTTATCTATCGGACGTAGTTACGGAGTTCTCTACTTTCTCTATATTTAATTTTGTCCATCTTGGATTGCTCTCTTTATCCAACATAAAGGAAAAGGATAAATAAGTTCATGATACATCAAATAATTTTAAGATTGCAGTTCTAGAAAAAAGACAATAGAAGGTAGGGACAAAGTGAGGTAGATAGATGAGATTAGAATCAAACGTACGAAAAATTCCAAAAGATTGAAACCCTTAGCTGTCTTCGCAATAGAAACTCCGATCCCGACGTCATTTTTATATTCCAAACCCTTACACGTAAAAAAGCAATTAGTTTGTTCACCAATATCTTGCATGACTAGGGTGTTGGAAATAATAACTAATACTCTCCATTAATAACAAACACCGAACTGAGTCATATTTTAGGCCATAGTTATACACTTATAGGCCAGCCCGATAAAAGATAGCTTAGGTTAATATTTTCTTTATAGATATAAAAACCAAATGAGTTAGGTTGTTATGAGTTTATAGGTTAAAACATACCATCAAATTTTTATGTATAATCTATCTGTATTTATATCATTATCAATACCACAAATCATCATACCATCATCATCTTGGGCAGAACATTAGTAATATTAGTCTTGTGTGGAGTACTCTAAAGATTGTAAACCACAAAACGTCAGTTTTTAACAGCATATATAGGTTAGAGGTATATACAAGTATTAATTAGATTACATATATATATATATGGCGTAAACACTTACGTGCGATTGTATGTTTCTATTATTTATATATTGTTTGGGTTGTTTACTTGTTTTCACATGTCAATTACTTTATATAAATAACCCTTTAGATATCATCCTTACCCGACAGAACCGGTGATACTCAATCTAGTACATTCTCTTTTCTTCTCTTCAGTTCTCTCTTCTCTCTCTCTCTCTCTCTCTCTCTCTCATCTCTTCATTGATTTAAGTCCTCATCTTCTTGAATAAGAAGTTTTCGGAAGCAAAACCATATATTTGACAATGGATGTAAAGCGTCACTCGTCGCTTTCTACACTCGTGGCTCATTTCTTTGGCATCTTAGCCGTTGTTCTAATGCTCATATGGCTTCTCCATTACCGCGAAGGTATCGAGTATGGCTCTGACAACCCCTTTAAGGTTTTAAATGTAAGTTTGTATTATCGAAACTTTATACATGATTTTTTTTTTTTTTGCGTTTTAATTAAACTAATTAACATATTTTCTAATTACTTTTTTTTTTGTTTGCTTTGGAAATGGTTGATACGTATAGGTGCACCCGTTTCTCATGTACTGTGGATTTCTCTTCCTCGTGGGTCAAGGTAATTTCAATACGATCTAAGACGCATATGGGTGATTCGAGTATAGTTATAGTTGAAATTTGATACCGAATTATATAGCCCGTTCAATTTCCTCATGTTTCGTTTACTTTTGACTTAGTGTTATTCATAGAATAATTTGGCGATCGATCGGTGTTTTATTTTTTTGTTTTCCCTCTAAGTAAACCGTAAACACGTGTGATTTTCTGCAGAAGAAAAAGTTACATTCCTGATTTTGCATGCTTTTTTAATTATTCGTTTAGTTGACAATGATTAAATGATTATGGGGTGCAGCTATGATGACGTATAAAACGGCGTACGCGTCGCACCAAGTGCAGAAGATGGTTCACGGTGGGCTTCACTTAATAGGTTTGGTTCTAGGTATTGTCGGAATTTGCGCCGCCTTTAGATTCCACGACAAATTAATCCTTAAAGACATGGTCTCTCTTCACTCCTGGATCGGTCTCACCACTTTCATCCTCTTTGGTCTTCAGGTTGATTAATTAGTCCACATATATTAATTACATTTAACGTTTTAAGTACATCAAACACTAATTGTGGTGACGTTTATATAAAAATTCACAGTGGCTATTCGGTGCGTTCACATTCTTAGCGCCACAATCATCGTCGGGGACAAGGACGAGGATGATGCCGTGGCACGTCTTAGGTGGTCGGGCTCTACTTTATATGGGTATTGTCGCAGCACTTACTGGACTCATGCAGAGAGCAACGACGATTGGTCAGAGCACAAACGCTGAGTCACGTCTAATTAACTTCCTCGGCTTAGCCATTCTACTCTTCGGCGTCTCCGTCGACTTCTCCGTCGCTCTTGGCCGTTACAATTGATGGAGTTACTATACTGCATTATTATTAGTCCCACCTTTAAATATTCCTTTATCGTACTAATCAGCGAATTTTCATGATTGTTTTGTTTTGTTTTCGTGTGTAAATGTGAGTCGTGTGATATCTATTTGGTTACCAGAGTGATTTATTTGGTATTTAATGTTACTTTTTTATATATATATATATTTCTTCTTTTGTGTTTGATCTTTGATGCTTACTTAAAGTAATTAATCTGCATATTTTAATTATAGTGGTAAATCTCCATGTCAGGAAGCAACTTTAACGGTCCACAAATTTTCATGCCACTACCATTAGCTTTATACTCTTTTTTATTTTTATTTTGACATTAGCTTTCTGCTATTTATGTTGTTCAATTATCTACAAGCTGTCCTTTCATTTTCATATTCTTTTTAGGGATGATTAACCTTTATAACCATAATATAAGATTTACTTTATTCAAAATACATGTACATTATATGAATTATATGTATAACCATAGAAAATATGTATGTTGAGCAAAAAACGGAAGTTATATATTAAAAGGGAATAAAGAGAAAAAAGATAGTTACGAGAAAACAAATAAAACACTTATCATTAACTTGACATTTCCCATAAAGAAAAAAACAAAGAAGAAGCAGAGAAATGGGATAACTTGGAAGGCTCTGTTTTTTTCAGATTCCCTTCATACCAATTGTTGTCTTGTAACTTCCATTCTCTTCAACAATCCTGCAATCTCAGCCTCCATTCTCAACTTCATGTTCCTGTAATCGCAGTGCGAGTTCTCAAGCTTCTTAAGCTCCTCCAGCTTAGTCCTCCTCCTCTCCTCTGTCTCCTGCAGACACAGAAGCGCTAGCTTCTCTGTATACTCCTCCTCCATCTTCTCCGTCTTCATTTCTATCATTCTCTTAAAACTCTCTGCCTCTATTCTCGCCTCATCAGCTTTCTTCTGGAACATTCTTGTTTCAGCCTCCTTTATTCTCACCATGCTCTCTAAACTATCAAAACTGTTCATCATTGCATCAGTTAAAGCAAAGCTCTTCTTCTTTTGATCCTTGGATGTTGAAGGCGTCACAGATGCCTCGTCTTTTCTGTAGCTCGTTTCTGCGGCAACTGTTAGCTCTCTCGGGGGATCGGGAATTTCTTGTACCGACTCTGCATCTGCAAGAAATTGTGGTAAACAGTTTATAATCAAACTTCAATCTATAGAATCCACAAGGTTCAAAAGGTCCCTAATCTTTTATCTAAACCATGATTATATAGGTGAAAATTGGGTGTGAACTTACAGTTGAAGAACTGAATGATGAAGTTAGAGGCATCAAGAGGGGAAATCTGTTTACTCTCTAACTTCTTAACCATTTCATTGGCTTTGAGATGCAATGCTTTGCCTTTCCCATCATCGCTTCCTCGGAAAACCTTTCTAACACAATCGAGTTCCTTGATCAGAGTCTCAAGTCCCCAATTCTTGGCACAACACACAAATACATCTTTAACGAATCCAAACATCTCTGACTTGTGATTACATCCAATGCAATGGAACATCATCTCAGTCGTTCCTCTCGAACCTTTCAAACTATGTCCCGGTTTGATCAGATTCTTCTGAATTCCACAAGCAGCATGACACCAATGCGAACAAACATCACAGCCAACCCAACTACAAGTATTACTAGCTGAATCGAATCTCAAACAAACCGGACACATACAAGAGCTACAAAAGCCTTTGTTGTTAGAACATATCTTGCATTCACAGTCATCAACAGGCAAAAGACTCTTACAATTCACATTCCTACATCTCAAGAAGAGAAAGATCTCAACCAATTCGTTCATAGGGATTCTGATCTTACCAGAGAGGAAATACTTAAGCCCTGTTCTTACAGCTACAAGAATGTCAAGCTGATCCTTGACACATTTCGATAACGTCTCTTTGCAAAGATCAGATCTTTTATCAATCTGGTTCTGAAGATTCGTCAGCTTCTCTTTCTTCTCAGGCGAATCAATCAAGTTCCTCAAATACTCTTTAGCTGATTCTAAAGTTTCATCAGCCATCCCTTGAATAATTAAAGCCACAGAAGAAATCGATTTCGAAACGATGTCGTATAAAACCCTCTCCGATCTAACCGCATCGCTATCTTCCAAGTTTGCAACTTTCTTCCTCGAATCGCCGGAGATCGTGACTTCATTCCCCGGCCGAGCTGGTAACTCAGAAGGGAAGAAAGAGTAATCAGATGAGCTTGAAGGTTTGCCGGAAATTGGATTGTTAGCGAGCGCAACGCCGCCGTCGCCAATTGGTCTGAATCGGCTATGAACAGATCCGTTGGTTCCTTCGCCGGCGCACCAGATATGGTCGTCTTTACCAACGGAGCAATCGAAATCTGTGGAGTTACGAGTCATCGAACAGCTGATGTTGTGAGAGAACGGGTGAGAGTAAGAGTACGACATAGACGGTGCCGTAGCTGTGAAATCATTAGAGAACGACGTCGTTGTTCGTTCGCTCGTCACTCTCGGTCTTTTCACGGCGTTTGAAGCTGTTAAAGACAGAGAAACGTCTGGTAAAGCTAGAGAGAGATTTAGGGTTTCGATTTTGTTGCTTTTCTTGTCTTCTTCCTCTGCTTCAGCTTCAGCTTCCTCTTCTTCTTCGTGAGCTTTTCGTTTTGAAGAATTAGGATTCATTTCTCTCAGATTGAAGAAATCTCTCTCGACCCATTTCTCATCGTAGCTTGAATTCTCAGAAAAGGTAACAACTTCTTTCCCCTTTTGACCAAGACTTTCAGAGATTTTACCGGAAAGTTCACGGTTCTCACAGAGGTAGCTTAGAGTGAGCTCGTTTCCTGATCTTGGCGATGATTTTGAAGAGAACCCATCGAGGTTATTGGACCTGACGCTGAGAAAGTCTACGCCTTTCTGATGATACATACCGGTCTTGTCATCCTGATGTTGGTTTTGGTTGTTTAGATTAGAGAATCGAGGCTTTGATGTTTTGGTTCGAGAACACTCTCCATCCCCGGCGAGATCTTTCTCCCCGATCATGGCGTTGGAAGAAAGAGATAGAGAGAGAAAGAGATAGAGATAGAAAGAGAGACGGAGGAGAGTGGATGGTACGAAGCTGAGAGAGATGGAAAAAGTTTGGTCGTATCAATGGCAAAGCTGTAATATGGTGAGAGTAATTGAGGGTACTTTTGTCATGAAATATTCGGCAAGTTCAGACATAATAAAGTTAACGGCTGTTTTTATTTTTTTTGTTTTGTTCAAAAGTGTTCACACGAGTCACTAGACGCGGTTTTAAAGTCATGCTTCGCTCGATACGCTAAGATAAAACCGTTTCTTTCTTTTTTTTTTTGTTCTCGGGTAACAAAAAGTCTCGTCTTTTGAGCATAAATCCTTGTTTATATGCTAGTCCAATGGAGGAAATAAAAACATAATATATGTATCCATCGATTGAATCTTACAACGTTTGAAAACATAATGTTATATAAAACTTTCTATCTCAAACAATCGAAACAACGAAAATGAGTGAAACTGAAAAGAAAGATGGGGACACAATTATAATTTATATGGATACAATACAACATACAGAATACATATATAGAAATAATCTTGTAATACAATGAGGTGAGTTACGTATCAAGAATATAAAAGGGGCAATGGACTAGGTCCGAATTAATAGAAAATGTAAAAAAAAGTCAACACGTAAGACGTAACGTATTATTTGATGCCCCCAACTTGTCATATTCTTTTAACCTTTGTTTTGTAAGCATCTGGGCATATATTTAAAGCACACAGCCGTTGACTTTTTGTTAACAATGATATTTTATTGGATATGCATTTGCATGTACATCAGTATAACTATTGTGTGTATCTGCTGCAAAAGCTGTTGTTTATGGATTTATAATGACTTTCTCAATGGATCCGGCCCTCATGTTGTTGTTATTTTCAGGTAAAGGCCCATTATCTCTAAACGAGGGCAACATAAATAAATAGCCTGGTGACCAAAAACGAAAAAGGTAAAACAAAATAGCCATTGTTTTTCTTCCATTTATTTTTAAAATAACCAAATTACGTAAACACTTAACCCTAAAACCCTTCTAAAGAGTAGAGAGACACTATGGAGGACGACGAGACAATTAGGAGAGGCGGACACATTCCGCAAGAGATCGTGGAAGAGATTCTGGTGAAGCTTCCGGTGAGATCGCTCGTGAGATTCAAAGCCGTGTTGAGAGAATGGAGAAGGACCATAGAATCAAAGTGTTTCCAAGAGAGACACATTGGGTTTCAGAAATCTCATGGAGGTCGTCAAGCGAGAATCCTCGCGTTATCAATTGAAACAAGATACAACCGTCTCATTTTTGACATTCTGTTGATTTCTACCAATAACATCGCACGTAAAAGTTCTCCATACCGACCAATGACGCCTTTTCACTGGTTTCAAGATTCCAAAATATGCCAGCCTTGCGATGGTCTGCTAGGTCTTTACTCCGATACTCATATGAGCATTTTTAACCCTGCCACCACTTGTTGCCGCAGTCTTCCTTATCCCACCGCTAGTATCCCTTACGGTACTTTTAATATGATGAATCTCCAAATTACTAATTTTAATCGACTTTTCTTATCATTAGTTATATAAAGTTCTTTCAAATTGTAACAGATCAGCGTAGGCATCATACTTTGCTAGGGATCGGAAGAGAGAACTGTGAGAGAGGAAGGTATAAGGTAATGTGTTATTTCGAGTGTGATAACAAAAAGGTGTGTGAATCTACCAAGTGCATAGTTTTTGCTCTCGACACTAATACGTGGAAAGACGTAGATCCGCCTCATTGTCGTCTTCACTATGACCATTCTATAGTACACTTGGATGGAGTGCTCTACTGTTTCAGCCACGGCCATACTGAATCTGAGAATGCTAAGGTACTAGCATTTGATCTTCACACATACAAGTTTCAAAGCTTGTCAATTACTTCATGTATCGGGTTTAGATACTCCAGATATTCGGGCATGCACAATCTTAACCATCGCCTATGCATCTTCAACAGCGACACTTTATTCCGAATATGGGGTCTTGATATAAACTCGAGATCATGGGAAATGATGCAGTCCATAGATTGTTCTAGGCTGCAACTTAAAAATTGGATTTTCCTCTTTCCCATAGCGAGGATCAACGATTATTTCGTCATCATTACAGATTGCTATCGTCACTACTGGGGACTATACGATTCCAAAAACCATATTTTGTATCGCACTTCTTTTATTGGTCAGGCGCCTCCTTTTGGAATGCCTTATTTTGAGACACTAGTCTCTGCTTACCAATAATTTGTTTGGTACTTATATTATTTTTATTCCAATAACAGATGGCTTTTTTTTTTTTCCTTTCTTTCTCTTGAATGTATTTGCATGTGTTGAGGGTACTTTTCTTATTTTAGTTGGACTTTGAAAAGCTTATTCATATTAGAGATCAGACACTTTCGTCTCCTAGTAACCCATTAAAAAAAAAAAAGAAACTGTGACGATTAGAAAAATAGAAATCTTTCAGACGTATTAAAGAAGAAATGTATCTTTTAAGAATATGGGAGTTTAAATGTATTGGGGGAAATTGTAGAAAGAAATGTGTATGACTACACAAATGCTGGCCTAATAAGAATTCGTATATAGACTAGTTTCCCAAGAGCTAATTAAGTCCAGCTCCATTAAGTATATAAATCTGTAGAGGAATTTCTTATTACTTTACCTTGCTTTTGTATTGTAAATGGTAATAGCAATCTGTGTGATCGTATCGGAGTATACTGTGTCCTGGTTTATACGGTTTTTGCTCTTTCTGATTGCTTACTACGCAAGCAACCAGTCCAGACTCTGTTGTATAAGATGCACGATTTTGAACAAAGTCACTTAACCTTACGTTTGGTGGAGAAATGAGTACTGTATATAATGAGAGTGATCTTAATAATACCTTGACGCATTCAGGCAACTCGTTATCTGTTGTTCTAACATGGACCTGGAGAGAGAGAAAGGGAGGTTTTGGGACTGTTAATATTATATTCTTCTATAGTTTTCGAAGCTAAAAGATACTAAAGTGTTGTTGAAGGAAATGATACCTTTATGACTCGTTGGTAGGCAGAGATTTTGTTGTGTTCAATGCAGGCGAGAACTACGAGTGCAGCTGCTACAGTTGAGGGCCAAAAACAGAGTTGAGTGTGGTCGGATAGCGAGGTAACGGCCAAGGATTTCGCTTTCCTTTCAACTTCTGGATTGGCTCGAGCAGCTTTTAAGTAGAACCTGAGATGTATAAATAATAGTTATATGCATCTTTCTGCGTCTATAATGTGTCTTGAAACATGAAAGTGTAAGAGAGGTTTTACCACAAAAAGTTGAAGATTGTGGGTGTGAAGCATTTGAAGTTGAGAACTTCTTGAACCAGCCACTCCATTGCCACCACTTCATGCCGGCTATATTTTAGGTTCTGAATGTCGAAGTTCCTTTTCCGGATGCTAATTAAAAAGAGGAAATATCAGGTGAGCAGCTGAAGAATATTGAACTATTCCTGTGCGTTTTAAAAGGTTTTTTGCAGTAAAGTGTTTTTGAGAAACATAATCCAATTTTAGACACATGAAACGCCAATTCATTGATTGCTTACAGAATACCAGAAGGGTTTGTATTAGACTATTATTAGTAACTGATTTGGTTGAACGTAACACTCAGTTTCTTGTAATGGTCCTAATCTTTTTCTTATTCAGAACAGTTATCTAATGAACATTGGAAGCAGAACAATGAAGATGGAATATGGGTTGGTACCTGTTGTAAGGTTGATTCTCTTCAATTCTGGTGGCAAGAGTAAGACTTGCAATCCCGACTAGTATTAGAGTCCTTTCGCTTTTGAATGATCCTTTGCTAAGGAATCGATCCAACAGACCAACTCCTAGAAACAATGTCTCTTGGTGAAGCTCCATTTCAGAACATTGCTGCTTGTAATCAGGGAAAAGACAATCAGCAACACGAAACACCATAGCTTACTGACACATAAACCTTAGACGATTCCAAAGTAAGCTATAGATTTTCTTAGGCTAAAATATTCTTAAAACCAGGAACAAGATTTTTCCAAATATTCATTCTCGTCATAATCTTCTGCTACTGATACATATTTCTGAGATTCAACATTCAGCGATCAATAGATATAACTACATGCATTTTGAACAGACAGATAGTATTCACCTCCACAATCCATTGAACCATGATGGAGCGTAGACGGGAGATGATATCAGTATGGTCCATCGTGGAACAGTAAGCCTTAGCACAGTCCCGCATATATGCATGACTCCTCTCTCTTTCCCTCAGCCTTTGATAGCTCTCTTCCACCTCCTCATCATCAAACCTTAGCACCTTAACCGAAAATGTGTACTTAAGATTCATTCCAGAACAAAATTTCAGAGTCAAATCATGAACACAGAGCAGAACAAGTCTCAGATCAAAACAGGCTTAGTAATCCAGTGAAATTTCAAGCATATAACCACATCTTCAATCTCTAAGCACTAGCAATTATTTGAAGAGATACGAAGGCACTATACCACTTACTTCAGTGTGAATTTCTTCCTGGCATGAAGATCTCAATTCGTTCGGAATTGTCGATCTACAGAACTGTTCCTTGAGCTCGAGGTACAGAGAGCGAGAATGTGAAATAGGAGAATCAGAGGACGACTTCTCAGAGAATTCACTACCAGAGTCGAAAAATATCGACGGAGTGTAATCCGAGCAATCGAAGTCGGAATACTGAGAAAATGTATCTGAACGCTGCTCGGATGACTCATCCTCCAGAGAATCGGAAACCTCTTCGTCCGAGAACTTCTCAGTGCAAGCGAGATCAGAGACGCATCCGATTATCTCAAGCTCCGGCTTCAATTCCTTGGCCGATATAAGAGAGGAATCAGCTTCCACGTAGCTGCTCGGCTTGGAGATTTCAATTTCGTCGTTATCAGCTCCTCCGGTAACACTCCCAAACTTGGAGCAGTACTCTACTCCCGATATGAACGAAACGACGTCGCTCTCCTTATTCTCCGATCCAAAATTCAAATTACGGCTATTGGAGTTGGAGACATGCTCAGCGAAGGTAACGTCGGATCGTGAGTAAGAGATCTCATCGTTGTCGTTAATATCTACTCCTCCGTTTCCTTTCACATTCAATCTCCTTAATCCAGCACCGGAATTCGAATCAACACAAGACGATTCGCTTACTTCGATCTCATCTCCCTCCTTCTCCTTGTGTAGCTTGGAGTACGACCGCGTAATCCTCCGAAATTTCGAATCACCAACCGTCTCCTTCACCAAACCTCTAACAGGTTTAGAAACCTCTACCTCTTCAATTCGAGTCTTCTCGACTCTGCTCGAACCACAGGAAACGTTGTCATCGGCTACAAAAAGCGAATCCGAGCAGGAATCGACAGAAGCAGCAGAGACTCCGATTTGCTTGCTCCAGAGAGGTGACTGAACAACAAAGGGAGAGATCTGAGCTCTCTTCCGGCGTAAACGCGTTGATCGGAGCTTCTTCCCAGCGAACGGCGTCGGCTCAGCCCTGCGCTTCAACACGATCCCCTTCATTATCTTTTCCGACGAAAGCTTAGAATTAGAAATTCGAATTCGAATTTTGAAAAATGGAAGTTCGTTAGTTAGAGTGAGTAGAGTGATGCAGTTATGGAAGTTTTAAAGCGAAGAGTGGAGAAGGTGCAAAGTGAGAGAGATTCTTATACCCTGCGGGTTGGTGCACCGTGCACGTGAACGTCGTTTTTAATTCAATTTTTGTATCAATCGCAAGTTTTGGACGCTAATCTTGTTTGGCAAAATATATACATATAGAGCAGCGTTTGCGTTCAATTTTTAAGAATCTATGTTAGGCGGTAGCTTATGAAAAATTATCAGTTTTGATAATTACTTCAAGTGATTGAAATTTATTATTATTAGTTTCTCTAGCATGCTTTCATCGACACTGTACAGTCTAATCATTTTTCATGCATCGCATCATGTGAAATGACTACAAAATAAAGATAAATTGAGCATGATGTGTGAATGTTCTATAGAAATCACAGTTAAGTTTTGTAGAAGTCATATTGTCTGAACTAAAAAAAAAAATATAACATAGATCACTGTTAAGAGTGTTAATATATTGGTATACGTATATGAGTTGACTTGTTTTATCGTGTGTTATGTCACATGATCAAACAAATTTACATATTCTGCATACAGTATGTAATATACTGGGTTTTTTTTTTCTCTTCTTTCATTGGTGGCTTTGTATTGATTGATCTAAGATGGGCCAAGATTTAATTCGAAACCCAATATTTAATTTTCTCGAAGAAGGCTCAAAACTTTTCGGCAAACGTAAATGTCTTTCAGTTGGTTTTGGTTGAATCTGGTCCAAATCCATATTGAAATAGAGGATGATTATATTTAGAAAACAAAAATAAAGAAAACTTGTATATTCATTATTCAACTTAAAAAAAAATGTGCTATGAAGTAATTATCTTCTTTTCTTTCCTTTGTTAAAGAAAAAAAAACCAAATATAGTACATAGTTACAGATATACTATATAGGACATGGAATCAGGTCAACAAAATCCAACCTATTTAAGACTCTAATATCACATTGACCATATAATTAATAAATTTCCAAAACAAACACTTCTTTTAGCAGAAAATAATAATAAGAATCTTATATTTTCCTGGTTTCCCTATATATTTTACCTATAAAATAAATAAATAAACCTAGTTTATGTTGTTGAGTTTATTATCTAGAGATATCGAACCATGAGAAACCTCACAATTTTCGCTGTGCTTTTCATGGCCATCTTCATTGCTTCAGCAGGTACAAATCATCATCTCTAGCCATGACATTAGCTTCATTGCTCCAAAATATTCTTATGTGTTTGGTTTATGAAGGTGCGAGAGAGACGAGAATGTTGCAAAAAACTTGCCCCGTTGTCTGGCCAATGGTTCCATGCGATGCTAAAAAATGCGAAAAAATGTGTCATGATTACTACGGTCTTATCTCTGTCTCCTCTTTTTGTAATAGACTCGGCACTCCAATCGCCGAATGCGGCTGTAATCTTACAGATTGTTAATTAGTAGCGTAAATGCTTTATCAATGTCAAAGGGTAATATTCCCTCTGTTCCTAAAACATATTTTCATACATATTATAAAAACATCTAAAAATATGATAATTGCATCAACTTTTTGGGATTCCCAATTTTTTATAATTCGAAACCAATAGTATTTTGAGTTTTCTTTTTAAACCAATAATATTTTGGGTTTACAAAAAAAAATCCAATAATATTTTGTTATTTACTTTGAAATTTGTGAATCGTAATTAATAATATTTTGATAACCTTAAGAATTTACTATTTTGAAACAAATTTTATCTCCTAGAAACATCATCTTTTTAGGAAGGGAGAGAGTATATACTACTTTTTTTAAAAAGTTTAGTTATGACTCATCAATTCTTGGAACTAGAATCTAAAATTATTTGGAGTTGTTTTAAAATTACTTTATAAAGAGTGTTTGAATGATCGATTAAATTAAAATTACAAAACGAAGAGAGCATGCATGATAATAATTTGTTCGTAAACTAAGATTACACCATCAAGCGAGCGATTCTACAAACGCGTTCCGAAAACGCAGCAGCACAATGAGACTTGAGTACGTACGTACACAAGTAAGCTGGCAGAATGGTTTGGAACTTTGAAGATAATAGTTGTTCATCCAAACAGTTGTTCATGTCACCCCTTTTTAAGGAGATGATGATGACATGACGATGTCGTTTAGCTGATTGTACACCGCATCCACAAAACGGTGCGTTTCCATAAGAGGCTTCTCCATTGCTTCCTTGAGCTCTCGTAGAGTCAAGCAATACGCTTCCTATATGACACATATATGTGAATGAACGACGTTTCAATATTACATTACCATTGATTCTCTCTTCCCAAAATAAACGTATAAAAGAACTCAAGTTTTTAAAAAATCTAGAGCTACAAACAAAAAGAAACTTAACTAGACATGTGAACACGCTGTTTATTAATGTTGTGTTATAAATTTTGGCTGAAAAGTTGATTTATATAATTAAGGAAAGGAAACATATATATAAAAAGAGAATAGGAAGAAGTAAGAACCATGAATTGATCAAGTTCTGAAGATGTAGCTTCGGGGGAAATATCAGAGTGGATAGAGAGTTTGGTTAGGGAAAGATCATCCGCCGTGTTCATGATCTCCGGTGAGTCAAGGTCGCCGGAACACACCTGGTAGTGGTAGGTCCACAATTAGAGATTAGTAATTACATTAACAATCAAATCATTTTTTAAAAGTGAGAGAGAGAGAGAGAGAGAGGCGACCTTTAAACAGTTGAGATGTGAGTGAAGAAGAAGCCCATACAAAGGGTGGCTTGTGATTCTCTTCTTTAGAATCTGATCTTCTTCTGTTTCTTCTTCTTTTATATTCTGATTAATAATCTCTTCTTTCATGTTTCCTAAGAAACTGTTCTCATCTTTCTTCACCTCCATGTTTCACTAGTCTCTCAGTACTGTCTCATGCACATGCGCTCTACAAAGTATGTACATATATATATCATGTGTATATGTCATGTAGAGAGACGACATAATCTAAGTAAGAAGCTAGGGTTTTAAGATTACTTTTTCGTCTTTTGTCGGTCTACGAGACACTTGTTACTGTTACAAATAATAATTGTGCATGTATACATATGAGTCGTTGGTCACGCTATGTCACTTATCATATTTAATTACAAAGGTGCTGATACTATTCAGACTAAAACCAAAATTATATCAATTAGAAAAGCCACAATAAATGTGATACAGAGTAAGTAATTAAGGAGATGAAAAAGGATGAGAAACTTAAAAAGAAAAAAAAGGGGTGAAGACCGTGAAGTGAAAGGAGAAGAGTGGAGGGAACAGTGGAATTAAGAAGAAAAGGGCGAAGCATTGTATCATTGCTTACGAAAGCACTTTGAGTCAGACTGTCGATAAATAGAATTATGCACAAGTTTCCATTTTTGCATTTTTGGATTCCCATCCTTCTCTTCTATCTAGCTCCTAATATTTCAAATTTTTGGAAAACATACCTATCTAAGCTAACTACAACTAATGAAGAATAGTCTCAACTTTACAATTAATTTGTAAGCTTAAATAGAATTAGTGGGTTGATCTTGAAACACTTACACTATAGTAAGATGCTACTATACATTTGTAGCCTTGTGGCTAGGTTGTCGTATAAATCTTGAATATTGGAGGGGAGAGAGGAAGGAAGCTGGACAAAAAAAAGAATCAGAAGAGAGAACAGTGAGAAGATCGTAAATAGGAATAGAACTGTTGCATCAATGGGACAGTTCCATTTTTGATGAGTTATGAGTTTGCCAGTTTTGGAGCCCCAAACCCTATTATTGATCTTTCGATAACGACCTTTCGTACTATCCACTTTCTCCTCTCTTTTTTTTTCAGTTTTCTTTCAAAGATAAATAAGTACTACAGTATATTTAAAACTCCTTCACTCACTTATTATTCTACTAAGTATTGTTCTACTTTTCCTTGTCTCCAACTATATACAATCTCAACTTTTACTTCATTTATTGGTCTCTTGGTTCAAGATGAAAACAACAAATTTCTATACAAAAAAGTGTTACTCCATACAGTATTTAGTACTGTATATACACATAAAAAGGATAGGTTTTAGGTTTATGTTCAGTAATCAGTATTATAACCGGATTTGGATTTCTATCTGTGATGTTGGATTTAGCTAAGAAATCAGTACCTATGAATGTTCATAGAGTCATTTTAGTACAATTACCCTTAAATAATAATCACAAATCAATCAAAATATACAAAGAACAAGCGAATTTCGAATTGCACAAAGACGCATGTACTTAATTCTACAATTCCATATCTGAATTACGCAGAAAAGAAAAGACAATACGAGATTATGTTACGGTGATGTTGCACAGCAAGAATTTCATCACTTGACTCTCTTGCTTCTTACGGAAAACACCGGGAAACACTTCACCAATCTTCTCTTGGCGCAGCTAATCAACTTCTGAGATTCATGGTACTCCATGGCAACTCGGTCATACCAGCACAGAGGGCACAGAAAGTTCCCGTCTTCGTCAACGTTCACTGGACCGTTCAAACATTCTTTGTGAACTTTTGTTGCACACTCGCTTCTGCTACATATCAACAATGTTCCTTCTTTCTCACATTTCCAGCATACATTCTCCGGTCTTGTTTGGGAGCTCGAATTCAAGTAAGTGTTTGGATTTTTCTTGACTGAGGCTGGATCTTTATCTGACTCATCATCGCTCCCACTGATTAACCAAGTTCCATCTTTTGTACATTTTACATGTGAATCCTCTGGACATCTTCTAGAGCTTGGAGGAAAGGTGTCATCAGTAGCATTACCGTTGTTAATTGGTTCACTGGTTGTGTCTTGCTCACTCTCAGTACCGTCATTGATCACAATTACTTCACCTTTTTCATTGGTGTGCATTGGCTCATCTTCATCGTCGATGGCAATTACTTTATTCTTCTCGTTTATGTTTTGTTTCAAACCAATATGCACTTGTTGCTCGTCAATGGGTTCCTTCTCGTTAATGTTTTGATCCAGACCAATATGCACTTGTTGCTCATCTATAGGCTCCTCCTCGCATGTATCCATGTGGACTGATCTATCATCTCTAAAAACAGGGTCATCTGCTTCCATGGAAGGAGTTGTCTGATTCTCCATAAAGCTCACATCTCTCAGCTACACAATTCAAAAGTAAAAGCAATGTGCATTGATGTTTGAATCACTTTATTTAGCATCCTTAGCATGAAGCAAAGGAAAGTAAAGTATAAGGAATCTTTACCTTCTCCAGTGCACATTGAGGCAAACACAAGTTCTTGTGAGCAATAAATGGAAGAACATTGAACTTTGATAGCTCTGGCATGCCTGCTCGTAATTCTGATACTGGGACTTGTATCTAACATTCGAGTACAAAAAAGACTACAATCAGAAGCCTGTACATCCTAACACTACTTCTGCTAGTCAAGTAATTAGAGAATGTTCATACCTCTCTCAGAATTGCTCTGAGAACATATGCGCTACTCAAAGATAAATCAAACTCAACCTTTTCCTCTGAAGTAGAACCAACACCAACACCATGAGCATCATTCTTACATGGATCAAACATAAACTCCAAGACTCTAAGAGACAGGACTTCATTGATCCTCTTCCCATAGTCATTTGAGTATTGATAACCCATGTTCATCAAATCTGAAGCAAAGACATTTCCTATTAACCTTACTGCTCTTAAGATGCACACCAAGTCGTAAGAAAGGGTTTCAAATCGAGTTACCGCGAATGCGTCTTAAATCCTTCACAAATTTGGCTGCATATTCAACACACCATAACCATTCAGCTATTTGAGAGGGTCGGGAAGAATATTCATCCATCAGATCCTCAAGGCTCAGCTCACCAGCTCCGGAGCCACCATGGTCATCCATCAAGACCTGCATCACCAAATAAAATATAGATAGAAATCAAGATAACCATAAAAACCATTATCTCCTTAAAACCCTTTTAAATTCCAAAATCCACTTTCACATACCGATCAATTCGTACTAAAGACAAGCCTTAGAGCTTACAGTAATCAATCAATCATAAACTAGATCCAACATCACTGGTACGAGAACGCCATCAGACAAACCATAGAAAGAGAAATGTAAGTATTTGAATACGAAGCGAATCAGCAATAGATGCTAGAACAAAGCAACAAGGAAGGAAGACGAATTCAACAAACCCTAAAATCGAATTGGCGCGAAACTTTCCAAATATGGGACAGAAGAACAATGATTTGGCAAATCTCCCGCCTCGAAATTCAAACTTTTCATATTAGAAACTCAGATAGAACTCGAGAAACCTTCTTCTCCGGTCACCATGTCGACTCCGATTAGTGGAAGCGAAAAGACATAACTGTATAATGGGCCGTAGAAGGGCCTTGCTCGTTTTTCTATAAACTGATCTACAAATTGTATATCACCCGCCAAAAAAAAAAAGTTATACTTTTTAAAGGGTATATATTAGCTAAAGGCTAGTACTTATGCCGGAGGAAAACTTTATTGGGCCTCGGCCATTTATGCAAGTCTATTTTTCCATTATCTATTTGCTTCCAATAAAATGTTGTAAATTATTGAATTATCGAATCTTTTGGACATGTGTGACTATTCGAATTAAACAAAACAAAACCAAACTAATAGGCAGATTTTAATTAGCTAAAACGATTTTTTTCTTCTTCTAAAACTGATTAATTATATAAATAGCCAAAATTTGGTTACAATTGGCATAGAGAAAACGTGTGGCAAAATCATAATTAAGTGATCAGTTTTTGTATGGGTGATCGATTATCATTTTTTAAGAATGGATTTAATCTATAATAATTTGACCAATCAATCATACGTTTACTAAACCGGATACAGTGAAAAAAAATGTAAACAAACAAGAAAAGACGCGTTGCAAAAGCTGCGTTCACACAAAACGCTACACGTACATAAAGGGTGGATATAGATCAATTCAATCTTGGTCTTTTATATATATTTGTACTGTGTATATTGTTTCTTGTCGACTATATTATATATGTGACTCTTTTTATAAAAACCAATTTGTATAATTGTATTTGTCTGTATCCTCTCACCTGGCCTCGAAAGCAAACCACCAAACACCATTGTCACTAAGTTTTACGTCCAATTTAAATCTTGACATATATTTCGGAATCTAGAAAGACTTAAAACATAGTATTACGTATTTGTTCCGTTTATTCATTCCAATTTCAACCACTTGCTAAAAAATGCTACGTACGTACATGCTAGTACATAAAAGACTTAAACATATACAACTACAAGTCATTAGTCAATATGCTTATGATATCGAACGGAGGTAAACAATATGTATATATATGCAACTTGGTTCTTGATCTTCTTGTTTTGTATGGGCCTATGGTTATATATAGATACCGACATCACTTTTTTTGCTATCTTCTTTATGCGTGTACGCGATTTTAATTTCGTAGTCACCATCAGCTTAATATATATATCATTGTGTGTGTGAAAACAGAAGCAAAATAAGAGAAAAAGAGGATTCAAGTTCTGTTTTTAATGTAGGTGCTTTTATCACGTAGGAAAGAGACGTTTGGACATTGCTATCACAAAATTTTAACCAATCAGTCAAACAAGTTTTTGAAATACAGTCATGTTCATATTATCCGAGTTTTATCACCTAAACTCGAAAATCTTGGATCGGGTTAACTTAGCCGTGCGGACTACTTCCCCCAAAATCTTCCTGAGTTTAACATTGAATAACTATGATCAAGTTAGTGCGTTAAGTATATTTTACTACTTTTCATAACAAAATGAAAATACTATGGGAAATGGCAAGAGAAATAAAACTCTATGTTAAATTAAGTTTAGATTAATGTACAAAATGTTTATATAGTTAAAGCTAAACTGAGATCGGTCTTATAGTGTGATAGATAAGATATGACTTTCGAAACTCTATAGAATTCTTCTTCTCCTTCTTCTTGAGACGCGGGTTATTAAACGGTCAAATCATTTCTTCTGTTTTTGTTGTTTTATGGAATTATGTATGCAATTCTTATTGCAACAAACAACAAACTTTAAAACATTACATTCATTCAAATCGCGTCGTTGACGAAATATATGCTTGCTACATCAAGTCATCTCAACCATAATAACTGCGTCGACTAAAAAAACGTCTAGTAGTTTCTTACTAGTCAGCTTATTATTCCCATAAACCCACCATACAATTACCATGACGAATTAAATAGCAACTATTTTTTAGGAAAATTAACGTTACCACAGTCAGTTTTTTCCCCTTAAAACATGTAAATTAAGTTAAATTCTGCTAAAATCACTATAATGTTTTAATTTTGAAAAAAAAAGAAAAAGAAAATACCATGGCTATTTACGTGTTAGTCCGAAGACTTCGTAAACGATGGTGTTATTATTCGTCGTTTTCATATTTTGGAATAATCCGATAATGATAAGCATCACGTTCTGGTTTCTTCGTTAGTTCAAGATTAATTCATTATAATAAGGTTGATTAACCATCATTACAAGCAATCAATCATTAATTAAATATTATGTCTATTAGTATATATAACTACTTATGCATTTTTTTTCCAACCAAGACTCTCGCTGCTTTTTTACTATAACTCCAGAGGAAACAGAGATGAACAGCGAAGGAGGAGGCGGCGGTGATGTAGTTGAAACGGCGGTCAAGAGTCTTGGCAAAGGGTTCGATTTAACGGCGGACTTCCGGTTAAAATACTGCAAAGACGGCGACGTTGCCGCAGGAGATGAAAGATTAGTCGTCCTCGACGAAACTCAAAACAGAGAACTGCATGTTCCTGGTTTCGGAGATTTTCAAAATGTCTCCGCCGATATAAACTGCGACAAAGGAGAACGAACTCGATTCCGTTCCGACATTCTTGATTTCAACAAGGTTCCTCACAGTTTCTTCCCTTAGTGATAGTCTCGTTCTCATAGAGATAGTAACATTACATGTGGATTGTTTCTGATGAATCAGATGTCGGAGTATTTCAACCAGAGGTCGTCGGTGACCGGAAAAATACCGTCGGGAAATTTCAACGCGACGTTCGGGTTTCAAAGCGGGTCGTGGGCAATAGACGCCTCAAACGTTAAATCATTAGGTCTTGACGTTTCTATGGTAACGCTATTTAATCTCCACATACACAACCCCAATCGTTTGCGTCTCACTGATCGCGTTCGAAACGCTGTTCCATCTTCCTGGGATCCTCAATTATTGGCCAGGTCAGTACTACTTCACATGTTTTTTTTTCCCATTGACTGAGTGATAGATATATATAACTATAACATTACAAGCACAAACATCTTATGTATAAATCAAATGTTTTCTAAACTTGAACAATTGATTTAGTTGAATTTATGATAAGAACAGCTGTTGCATTTTTGACCAATTCTATGTTATCAGTTAATGTAGGATATTTGTATCATTTTTTGGTTTCTCCTATCTTTTAAATATTTAAATCAATTGTCAACGTTTCCAACTAAGAAGATCATACCGAAGAATGGGGAAGTTTCATGATACTTTTGTTTTCCTCTCTCATTGAATTGTTTTTAAATAACTAATACTAGAACGTTGAATAATTGTTAAACTGAACATTATTTGCAGAAGACTTTGAAACAATAGTCTAAAATAAAACATTATCTTAAGTAATTTCCATACTTCCGTAATACATAATCTGTCCTTATTAACGTTATACTAATAGATAAGATAAATTGAATTTTGGACAAGGACAGGTTCATAGAGAGGTATGGGACACACGTAATAACTGGGGTGAGCGTAGGAGGACAAGACGTGGTGGTTGTGAGGCAAGACAAGTCTTCTGATCTCGACGCTGACCTCCTCCGTCACCATCTTTACGATCTTGGCGACCAGTTGTTCACTGGCTCTTGCCTTCTCTCTACTCGCCGGCTCAATAAGGCCTATCACCACTCACACTCTCAGCCTAAGGTCAACTTCAATAATTGCTTCTTACTTTAAAAATATCAAAGTACAACTTAGCAATCAGCATTATGCATATTGGATCAAAATATTGAGATTTAATGATCTAGTTAGACAAAAGACGCGTACTAAAAGACAAGACTAATACTGCAGTTTCCAGAGGCATTCAACGTTTTTGATGACAAACAAACGGTTGCTTTCAATAATTTTTCGATAAACTCCCAAAATGTAAGTAAGTTTCATACATCAAATATAACATTATTAACGAGTTGTATAGTAAAAATGGTCAGTTATAAAGTAACAATTTGGTGTGCAGGGAATAACGGTAATATGCGCGAAAAGAGGAGGCGACGGAAGAGCAAATAGCCATAGCGAATGGCTACTAACAGTACCGGAAAAGCCCGATGCGATCAATTTCAACTTTATTCCGATCACGTCACTACTTAAAGACGTCCCTGGCTCTGGTCTTCTCTCTCACGCCATGTCTCTCTACCTCAGATGTATACTCTTCTTACCTCAAATATTTTGACTATCAAATGAAGTCGTTGGTTTGGTAATTTGGTACTTGTGGAACAGACAAGCCGCCGTTAATGGACTTACAATATTTCTTGGACTTCTCCGGGCCAAGAACGTGGGCTCCGATCCATAACGACCTCCCGTTTGGTGCGGCCCCAAATATGGCTTCGACGTATCCAGCTCTTCACCTCAACTTCATGGGTCCCAAACTATACGTTAATACCACTCCCGTACGTGTTCATCACATACATCTCTATCTATTTTGCTTACATTTTTTTGTTTCTTTCACAATATCACTTATTATTAACATGTAAGAAGTAGCAATAATTTTACTAATTGTTGAGATTTTATATATTCTCCGGTTAGGTGACTAGCGAGAAGAATCCAGTAACTGGAATGCGATTGTTCCTTGAAGGCAAGAAATGCAATAGGTATAACAAAGTTAACCAAAAGCCTAACAGTGCGTTACATTTTCGTTTATTTTATAGAATATTTTGATATATAATGAAACAAAATGAATTATATGGTTATCAGGCTAGCTCTACACCTACAACACCTAGAGACTACAAGAACTACGGTTGGGGAAAAGATCACAGACGAACATATATGGAGAGGCTCCGATCAAATCACAGGCAATGATCGCTACTTCGAGTCTCTAAACGGTAAGAAATTCTCACACGTGTGCACAGCTCCGGTGAAGTACGACCCTAACTGGATCACAACAACAAACAATCACAAGTCCCAAAACAACATCGCTTTCATAGTCACCGGAGCACAACTCGAAGTCAAGAAACACGGCTCAAAGTCTGTTCTCCATCTCCGTCTCTGTTTCACCAAAGTCTCCGACCACCACGTAGTTCAGAGTAATTGGGTTAATGGACCAACCGGGA